TGGGGTTTGGGAGGGCAGGAAGCCACAGGCAGCCTGAGCAGGACTCATGAGCTGACCCTAATCCCACACAACAAGACTCAGCCCTATAGATAATTCCCAATAAGATGCCTGGGGAAAAAAAAAATCAAACATAAAGAGACCTTAAAAATCATCCAATTCCAAGCCCCTGCCATGGGCAGGGACACCTTCCACTATCCCAGCTTGCTCCAAGCCCTGTCCAACCTGGCCTTGGACACTTCCAGGGATGGGGCACCCACAGCTTCTATGGGCAGCCTGTGCCAGGGCCCCACCACTTTACAGGGAAGATTTTTTCCCTAAAATATCTGCCCTAATAAACCTGCCCTCTTTCAGTCTGAAGCCATTCCCCTCTGTCCTAGCCCCCTCTGCACATGGGCATTGAGCAAATCCTTGCCCTGAGCATCCCTAAAGCCTTCAGGAACTGACCCTGCTTTCCAGAGCCAAATGTGAGGGGAGCTGAAAAATAACAGGAAGAGAAACTGAGGAAAAGAAAAAGGCTTGTTTGTCAGGGACATGACTGGAAGCAGGAGTCTGGTTCCTCACCACATGAAAAGCCCTGCTGCTGCGTGGAGGTCCTGGAGAAGAAAGGGGGATCCTGCTGAGCTGGAAGCTGGCAGGGAAGTCTCCCAAGGCAGTGCTGGAGTCCCAGCATGGTGGGAATCAATGCCAGCTTTGTGTACAGGTATTTGGGGAGGATTTATGACCCGCCCAGTGGTGTGAACACAGAGAATGAATTAAAGCACTGTTGGAGAATCCGGAGGTTCTGACTTCAGAGCTGCAGTGCTGAGGAAAAGGATAGGGTAGATTCCTCTATGTGCACTCTAAAATTTAAAGCAAAATGCCAAAAGTTTCTTTAAAATATGTGTTTTTGTCAGTGCTAGCCCTGTGGGACCCCATCAGGGCTGCCATAAACCACAGTGGGCTACAACAGCTGCCCAGGGAGCAGCCCTGTGTGGTGGTGTGAACTTCAAACACTGCACAGGGGGGGGCCAAATCTTTTTTTGATGTCCCAGCAAAACAGAGTGGCCCCCTCCTTTGGGCAGGAACTTGGGGTTTGCTCTGGGGGTGCATCTCAGAGGCACCAACCCAGGATGGGAATTCCAGGCACAGCCCCAATGGGAATAAACACAAACACCACTGCTGAGAGCAGCAGCCCCAAACACTCCCTGCACATGCACACCCCCCCAGAACAAACCATTTCAGCCTGTTAAAAGGTTTAAATTTCATTTCTTGGGTGTTTTTTTCCCTGCACTTATTATTAGTGTATTATTAATAATTATTAGTATATTTAGTACATTATGTAGTTACATCAGTCTGAGGACTGCAAGCACAGCATCCAGCTGACTTATTTTCCCTTAATTATTCTTTTCAGCTACTTAGTGGTGGAGTTTGTATATAAGTCTGTTATAGAGATTTGGGCGGAGTTTTTTTCAACTTTTTTATCCCTTTTGGATTTTACAGAGGTGCTACTAGAAGCCAAGAACAACAGGAGATCTTGGGAATATGCTTTATTCTTAATATTATTCTTAGTATTTCGTATTATTCTTAATATTCCTTAATACTTCAGCTTTTTAGAAAGGTAGGGCAGTGTGACTGGTGAGGATGAGGCAAATTTTGGGGCAATCCAGTCTTTTTTGGAATACAACAAAATGTAGGTATTGCCCATGACATAATTGGTGACAACATCAGCCCAGTGTCAAGATATTTTAGACTGAGGATGGTCTGAGAAGTTGGTTTCCTTTGTCACAGCTACTGCCCCCACATAAACACTGGAAAAGGCAGCAGAGACCACAATTCTGGAAAAAAAACAAAACAAAACAAAACAAAAAAAAAAAACACCTCAAAAGCCCCCAAAATGGGTGAAAATAGAAAGCAGGGCACATCCTTGTGCTAGGGAAGGATTTGGCTCGGGTTTAATGCCTTATTCTGTCCCCAGGAGGGCCAGGACACTGCCCCCAGCCTGGCTCCCTGCACATGTCATGGAATTCTAGAATAATTTGGGTTGGAAGGGACAATAAAAATCATCTAATTCCCACCCCTTGCCATGGGCAGGGACGAGGATGGGCTGGAATATCATCTTTTTGCTACCAGGAGGTCATATCGTGGTTTTCCAGCAGAGGGGGAAACAGGATCACTTCTTCCACCACCGAGCTGCTCGCTGTGTCTGTCAGTGCTGGCAGGAACGAGGGATTTAGGAACACTCAGTACTGCCAACACTTGCTGTGGCTGTGCTTAGGAGCCCACAAAGGTACCCACACAGCTCCATCAAAAGTTTGAACACCAGCCCCACCAAAGCACTGTAGGAGCCAAGAAAATTAATTTAACAGCGTGCAAAGCATCAGGTATTTTCTCTGCCCAAATCACACAGCTGCCTCTGCAGGATGCCCCGACCCCACACTTAAGTGCACATCCTTTTTTTGGCAATATAGACCGTGTAATCCCCTGTGTGCTCAAAGCCAAGTGCTGGAGATCCCTCATCAGAGCAGTTCTGGGTTTGGTGGCACCACAGGACTGGCAGGTCCAGCACTGGGGCTGTGGCCATCTGCTGGCCCTTGGCTGGACCTTTCCTGTGGGAATCCAGAGCTTCCCTCTGGCTGCCCTGGCAGGTCTGGGACCCTGGCAGGGGTCAGGAACCCCCATGGACAGAGCCCCCAGAGACACTGTCTGTGATCTCTGTCCATGGAAAAGAGTTTTCAATCTTACAGGATGAATTACAAGCTCTGAGTGTTTGATATAAGTAATAATTAAGTGTGACACAGGTGCAAAAGTAGAATTTTAGGATTCTAGATTAGGGGTTCAATGGGGACAAGATAAAAGAAATTAAGCGTGTCTTGTCCTTTTTCTCCTTCTTCATGCCCTCCATGTTTCACTGTGGTGTTGGCATTTTTCTGTTGGTTCAGGCTGGGGACACACTGTCCAACGTAGGTGACAGATATTGGCACATTATTGTAAATCCAGCACAGGTAGTTTCTGGTATTTAATGTTTGTAACATCCCACTGAGGGCAGAGCCCCACACGCTGCCCTGCAGGACAGAGCTGCGGCAGGGCAGCAGAACATGTTATAAATAAACAAAAATAAACTACCTCAAAAACCAGCACAAACAAATTATAACTCCTTCTTTAGCAACAAGACAGAAAAACAAAGACTTTTTACAATCTCAGAATCATCAATACCACAAATTCCAACATCACCTATCAGTGAGAAATTGGTTTTTTGCCTGATTGCACAAACCAGCCCAGCCTTTTACCTGGGAGATGTCCCACAAATAACTTCCATTATATCCAGGGCGTGTTTCTGATGCTGCTATCAGAAAATGAAATAGAAGATGGAATGCACGGGCATTCATTGTATCACAGGGCAGCCCAGGTTTGGATGGAAACCAGTGGGGTGCATCCCCACCAGACCTCCATAAGCATGGCCAAAACCATTTTATATCTTTCTGTCTAACCAGCCACCTGCAGGGAGGCTGTGATGTGTAACGGGGAGGTGACGAGGGGGATCGCCTCAGGCCAGTTATATTTCCCTACTTCTTCTCCCAGGAGACAGCAATTTAGGTTTAATAGTATATTAAAAAAATATTAAACCCCTTATTGGAGTTCTTCTTGCACAGGCAAAGAGAGCAGAAGGACTTTCTGAGCTCATCTGCAGTGCATTAGTAGGTAAAGGATTGTATTAATGTCCTCCCCAAGGTCACAGAAGGGCGCTGCTCATTTCATTTCAATACACAGTTTACCCCTGTGCTACATTTCTTAGTGTTTAGCAAAGACAAGCCCCAGGGTCACTCTGAACTTTAATTACATGAAAATAACCTGCTAAGAAGTCCTTTCCTTTTGATAATTTATAATACCAGCTATTGAAACTCAGCTTTGCAACTGATATGGGAAATACACAAAATGACACTTCCAGCCCAGCCTTTTGTGGACACAGGACAATATAATAGCCCAAGACCACACTTTCTAACAATAATTACACTTTCCCTTGAATTTATTTAGGTTCAAACTTTTAGTTGTCTGCTGGGAACACTTAATTTATACACGAAGCATCTCAGGCTGCTTATGCAGGAGAAAAAGCAGGGAGAAACAGGCACTTGTTTGAACAGACAAGTCCTCATACATCTCTTTTTTTTTTTTTTTTTTTTTTTTTTTTTTTTTTTTTAACTGATACCTAATGAAGATACAGATTCCTCATGCATTTTTGGGCCTGCCCAGGGCCTTTAGGGGCATTTTAGAGGCTGTGAAAACTTGAAGAAACATCTGTGAGGCAACTTGGGCTGTGACCAAGTGTCTTTCCCATGGCCTTTTTTATTTTCTTCCAACACTACAGAACTAAATATTGCCATCTTGTGACTGTTATCTTGAGAATCAATAACCTGTGGTGTTCTTGCTGTCTGTGGTATTGCACAACCTCTAAGATTCCACCCAGCTAAAAGCATTAGAGCCACCACGAGCAGATGGCTTTGCACGAGGCATGGCCACAACAATTTCAAACGTAGGGGATGTTTTCCCCCCTGCCAAAGCACTTTAGAAAACAAGGAATTCAATTTCCATCTTGCAGTGGCTGTGTAGGGCCATCCAAAAGCCAGGTGATAACTCACAGCAGCTTTAGAGGTGGGAAAGGGAGGAAGCTGAACTGACATTTCCTGCATGTATCTGGAAGGTACACGTCCCTCATAACTCAATTTTGTGCTAATCTTCAATTTGCTGTACTGGGAAGCTTCTCCCTGGTCAGCAACCAGGCACATCAAAATTACAGTGAAGTCACTGTGGGAAATAACACGAGTTTCCCCCTCCTTCAAATTAAAAGGAGACTGGGTAAGAAACACACTGCTGCAATAGGACTTGATTGACTTTAATGTGGAAAGAGTTGCACAGCTTAATATATTTCCTTGCCAGAAAACTGGGAATTTGTTTCCAAAAGGGCAAAGGCCTTTGGGATGTGTCCTGATTCTTTGTGATTGGATCTGTGCTGCTGTCAATGATTTACTGCAGCATTTCAGAGCCTGGTGGGCTCCATGCTCCTTCCAGCAGTCCTGAAAACTTAAAAAGCTTTAGTTTGCAGCTGATCATTGGCAAAAGTTTCCCTATGGCGCAGCAATGTGGGGGAGGCTGGCTCAGCTCTGTCCCTTGATGCTGTCCATGTGCTCAGTGGCTTTAACACCAACCCAGGCCATGGTGTGCAGGGAACTCCCAGCTCTGCCTTCCCACAGGTAAGTCTGCTCCCTTCCCCAGATCTCCATACAGGAATTACCAGCACGTCAATCAACCCATCGGTTTTGTCCTGACTTGAGGCATGTGCACAAAGCTACAAGAAAAAAAAAAAAAAAAACAACTAAAAATTGGCAGCTTTCCAAAGACCAAGCCAGGCATCATAATTCCTTCTTAAAGGAACTGTTTGCACAACGGTTTTGCTTTTACAGATGACTATTAAGCCTCCTTAAACTTCCTTACCGAAATTAGCAGGCTGGGTTTGGGCACTTGAAATGAATTCTCTATACAGGATGATTTATGAGTTAATATTTTTCATATTCTTTTGCATTCTAATTATTTTACACTCGACAACACGAAGCTAACAAGTGCATGTGAATAACCCAGTTTTCAGTCCAAGCCAGATCCTCATACCTCAGTTTTTCTTCCCCCATGAACAATATTATTAACCTATCTGAGTGTCACTTGGGCTTTGAAGGAAAGGAATAAACAAGTTACATTTTTTTCTAAAGCTATAGTGTCATGATAGGGAAATGGGTGGAGGGTTTTTTTTTTCTACAGCTATTAATTTCAAGCTTGTTGTAAAGGCAAATATGATTTAGGAGGATCAAAAAAAGGTATCAGTGATAATTGGAACATGGAGACAAGGAGAAGGTGGAAAGGAAAAAACCTGTGGTAGTGATACACTTAATTATGAAGGCTTATTTCGATAATCCCTTTTGAAAATGAACAAAGACAAGATTTTTGATGTTTGATGAACTTATCAAACAAGGCAGAATAATGAAGAGGTAAATGTGAAATCCAATCGAAGGTGAGCCAATTAAGTACTTTGCGAAGTGCTGAAGGATGCAGCCCCCAAATCCTCCTGTCAGGGCAAAAAGGCATCAACACCTGCATGTCCTCCAGCTCTGGGCTCACCTGCAGGCTCCTGGGTTTTCACCTCACACAGGGATCTGCACCCACACTCCCCTACCAAGCTCATATGGCTCTTGTCCAGTAAATCTCTCTTCCCCAGCCTCTGGTGAATTCCCCATGAGCTACAAACCTCTGCTCATTACCAATATTTCCCTTTGGATTGCAGTCTTGTAAAATAAAACAGACTCCTCATTAGTTAATCACCAAAATAATAATAAAAATAAGAATGTTCTGACTTGCAGCAAACCCTCAAAATGCATTGAAGGCTGTGGCAAACGCAGGGTTGTATTTGCATGCCACAGATTGCTCCTCAAGACAAAGAAATGGCTCATACAAATGAAGGTTTTAGGAGTAGAGACAGAGCTAGAGATTTTCATGACTGGGCTGGGAGGCAGGAGAAGTATTTTCTGGCTGTTGTGTAGAGATATTCAGAGTATGTGCAGAGTCTGACCCAAGAGCCACTAAAATACCATACCTTTGCCCTTTTCTCCTTTCATAATATTCCTTTATTTTCTTCTCTTCATAATTTGTGTATTTTGCTTTAGAAATACTCAACCAACAAATTCTTAGTCGAGATCCTTTGTACCTCGTTCTCTCAGCACTGTTGGTACAGCCAATCCCACCCCTCCACAAAACCCATGGAAACCTGGATCTGATTTCACACTGGCCAGGAAAAATCCTGACCTTGAGAGCTCACAGGGGTGTAAAGAAAGTGACATCAAAACAGGCTCAGTAGTGATAAACATCCCCGCTCCTGGAGATTGTGATGTGCTTCTGAAAAAAAAGGCAAAAAATTAGCTTTTCTCTAAAACCTGTCTCTTCACAATACTGCTTCTGTTTACTCAGGATGGTGGTCATATATATATTTTTTTTTTTTTTTTAATTGCAATCTACCTATTGGAAAGGGCAAAGATGTCTTGGGAGAGCAGGAATGCCAAGACAAAATCCCCAGATACTGCCCCTGCAGGCCTTGCTCAATTGGTGAATACTTGGATGGGACATCTTGGGATGCTTCCCATTTCCTACCAACCAGCTTCCTGGTGGAAAAACACACACACAAAGATAATTTTCCCCCTTCCAGCCTTCAACCCCTCTCAAAACACAGCTTCAAAGACCTCAGACCACTCTTTCTTCCCCTCCCTAGAAGGAGCAGCAGAGATGTTAATTCTCCAGCTCCTGTTGACTGTCAGCTGAGCCAGTGGTCAGGATGGACTGATTGCTTCCCTTGCCAAGAGAAAAAAGTAAGGATCCACTGTAATGTATTCATTTCTCTTCAGATGTGTCTGTGATGAGGATCTACACACATTAATTATATATATTATACATATTCATCATTCTGAAGCATCCAGTAAACTCATCCAAATATGATGGAAATGCTCCTCTGCTAGAGAGGCTCTTATTTACCCTGGTGTAAACTGGGGAATAAATTCTTTGGAGGCAGGAGGACAGGAAAAGCAAAATCAAGGCAAATGGTGGAAGAATCAGGCCAGAATAGTTGCCTGAGACTTTCTTCCTTTTCTGTCTCAGATTTAATTAAGTATCCCCTGATTCTTAATGCAAATAGTCCAGTAAAAAGAAATTAGAAGCAGCCTTCATACATCAGCTCCTGTTCACATATTTTTATATCATTTCATATATGTCTTCATAGTTTGAGAATTTATTTGCACACACCTGACATAATTCTGCTTTCTACTGAGTTTATCTTATCCCTGCCTTTTTTGTTCCTGTGCTTATAGACAGTATATTATCAGTAAATAATATGGCTTTTCTCCCTTTCTTTTTTTTCCCCCCTTCCTAGTTTAAAGAGCAGCAATTCTCATTAATAATCCATCAGAAATATTGCAGGATCAGTGCTGTAATTAGTGTCTGTGTCCATCTGAGCCTGGTGCACTGCAGGACAAAGCATATGCAGCTGGAAAAATGCCATATTTTTCCGAGGTATAAAATAGAGATATTTTTTACACAGCCATTCTAACCCCTTCTAAGTTCACCCATATGAACTTGAGGCAAATCTGAGCTCCCAGCTCTCTGCTGACTCTCCTGCCTTAATCAAAAAGTCTACAAGCCACACACACACACAAAAATAGAAATACCTATTAAAATGCTAGTTTTGATTGCTTTTTGGGCTGTGGAGGGGATGTCTGTGGGGCACAGACGGGGTTGTGTCTCTGTGCAGCACCGGCACCGGCGGCTGGCGCGGCCGGCGGAGTTTGGAGGGCAGAGATGCGCCGGGCACCTCTGGGATGAGCAAGCCTGTCGAGCTGAGACAACCTGCTCAGGGCCACCAGGGTGTGGGCAGGACTTCCAGTGCAAGGAAACAGGTGAGTGACCCAGGCACAACCCCCCTGCCACAGAGGTTTTGGTCCTGGGGGGATCAATCCCCTGCCCCAAGCAGCAGGAGGGTGAGCCAGTACAAGAGAAAGCAGGGAATTTCCCCTCTTCAGTGTTTTCCCCCCCACTTCTACAGAAATCCATCCATGCTGCACTCAGATTTGGGTGGAAAAGAAGGCTGTGTGACATGGAGAATGTGAATTTTTCAGTGGAACAAAGAGAGTAGGAATATTCTGCTCTAACTGCTGTGCTGTGTGCTCCCACTCCCCTCTGTGGGCACAACGCTCCGCGTTCTCCCCTGCTAGAGACAGAGTTCAATCATCAATCCAACCAGCAATCTGTTGGGGTGATTTAGTTATTTTTAGCCACCTCCAGCTCCGAGGATTAGGATATAAAACTGCTGTTCTCTGAAACTTTGACTAGCCTTGACAGATTTTTGTTTCTACACAAATGGCTCAAACTTCCTTCCTGAGCATTTTATGAAAATTCTATTGAAATTTGGAGCCACAGGCCAGCTCCATGACCAGCTTATCACCTGAAGCAGGTTATCATCACTGCACTGGGGGAAAATTAAGCAGTGCCAGTTCCCTCCTCAAGGCTTTCTCCATGCTCCCAGAAGCAAAAGCCCTCCCACATTGCCTTTTCTGCAAATATCCATTCTTGCAATTAATTATTGTAATAAACTCCCTAAATGCCTCCTGCAATGGGAAGAGGAAACCTTGCACTTTAATAAGATGGAGTTTAATTCCTTAAGCCAAAGGGTGAAGCTATTCCTACAGCAACTTTCCAAGAGTGTGATTTTAGAAAATAAAGTCAGGTGGTGAGGTGACCTCTCCTTGATTCCCACCTGATAGACGTCCATGGGAGTGGCCAGCTTGGACTCTGTGCTGTGTTTAGGTCCCAGAAGCTTGGAAAAGCCAATTCCTCATGGAATAATGCTGTGCTTAACACACAGCATGACTTCTTGTGGCCTTGAGATGTGGGTGAAAAGCAGCACAGTCAATGCAAGCTGCCAGCCAGGATTTCTGGAGGGCGGATAAGCCACCGCCTGCATCTGTGCACTTTAGGGCGCTGCATTCAACAGCATCTCGTGTGCAACGGAGACAGAGACTGCAGAGATGGGTCTGATGAGGATAATTGTGAGGATGAAGATATTGAAAACCCTTGTGAACATCTGTTCCCAATCCCAGGGGTGGAAAAAATAGTCCAAGGGTGAGTAATTAATCAATAGCTGCTCCTCTCACAATCAAAACAGGATTATGTTTCTTATATTGCTCTTCCTTAGTAATAGCAGGGATCCATGAATTGATAAGGAGCTGTACAAAACCCAAAGGGGAGGTGCTGTCCCCTGTGACCATGGGTAGCAATGAGGGTTCATTCCACCTTTTAGTTCAAATTCTGTCTCAGATCTATTACCTGACCACAGTATTTGTGATGCCCTTCTTATACTCCTGAAAAAATAGATCCCAGTTATTTCACGGCTTTCTCCAGTTGTTAAAGGTAAGAGACTAAAGAAAACAGCAGATTTTGGAGATGCAGCACCCTGCTGGCATTCATCCTTAAGGAGATTTAACTCCAGGATTTCGGACTTCAGAGCACAGATTCAAGGCAGAGAGCCTGAGCTCCACATGAGTATATTTAAATACTCCTATCCATGAAAAGTGTTTCCCTGCTCAGTTTCATATTTTGATTAGGTAATACAGGCAAAAGAGAAATCTGGAATGAAATGAAACTGAAAGGCAAATTGTCACTGTTGAAAACCTTGTATTTTAACCAAACTACTGCTCAGTTTCCCTTGGAGAACACTGCCCTGTCTGTGGCAGAGGGACTGGAATGAGATGATCTTTAGGGTCCCTCCCAGCCCAAACCATTCTAGGATTTTATGAACATGGGCTACAGGATGAGAATGGAGCATTGTGCAACTTTCCCATCAGCTCATTCCAACACTCTCTGGAGTCCATGAGATAAATGTCTCCCTGGCCCAGGGCCTGGGAGGGTCCATCAAAAGTTTTACAAGGCATGCATTAATTTCCACTGAGAACCCTGTTCAATTCTGCTCTCTGAAGTGTTTCTCCTGCAGAACACACAAAAGCAATGGCATTTGCTATCTTAGTCCTAAAGATGGTTCCCTGTTGAGAAGAGCAGTGCTGCTGTCTAGTTTGAATAAAGCTTTCATTTTGGGCCACAGAATTACATGGAATACTAAGTAATAGGAGGGATTTCAGAGGGCAGCAGCTGTGAGGGCTGGAGAGCAGGAAGAAGGAGGAATAAGGAAATAATAAGTGACAGACTTGGCAAAGCACAGGCTTCATGTCTAGGGAGGGTGTTAACTACCCTGAGAAACGGGACCATTATTAAAAAGAAAGAGATTAAATTAAGACAGAAAATAATTGCAGAGAATGCCAGGAAGCACTTTGTGACAATGAGATGCATTGGGCTCAAGAGGAGCCTGGAGGAATTCCAGGACTTTGGGACTTTCATAGCTGTGCTGGCTGGGAGGGGCTGGGCAACTTCACCGATTGCTTCCATTTCTCGCATGCGAGCCCAAACTAATGCCTTGGAAATAAAATGGCTGTTTGCCTCCTGATAGCTTTGGGAAGGAGACAGCAATGAGATAACAAACCCAGCCCAGCTTTAAGTTCTATTCCAGTTCCTCAGGAGGCCTGAGGATCGATAACCTGTAACATCAGGGGAACCTGTGGCAGAGACCGAGGAAATAAAATGGGAGTGATGAACAAACTCCTGAATGCTACCTCTTTCCAAGATACAACATCCTGACACAGGAGGGGAGGCAGAACGTGTACGACCCTGGGTTTTTTGGAGGGCTCTGTGAGTACGTGTACAACGGGGAGTGGCGGGAGCTGCGGTACGACGCCGCCTGCGAGCGCCTGCACTACGGGGACGACGAGAAGTACTTCCGCAAGCCTTACAACTTCCACGACTACCAGTTCCTGGTGAGTGCTGCAGGAGGCCAAATTCAGCAGCAATTCCCCAGCAAAACTTCCCACAGAGATATCAGGTACATTCTCTCTGTAGTTAAGAGTACCCCAATAGGCACTCGAAGGTGTAAATGCTGGTTTACGGCGTGTCAAGGGACACACGTGCTGCATCAGCCAGGCGTCCCCACTCCTTCCTCTGGCCCAGGCAGAGCCAAGAGAGAGGTGTTTTCTCTAAATTCAGCTATTAATGAGCTGTAGAGCTTGAAGAAGCCTTCTGCCTCTCTAGGGATGGAGCTGGCCATGTGTAAAATGGTGACAGTGCTGCTGGTTCAATCTTTGAAAGCATTTTATGTCATGGCTACAGGGGGCATAAATCTGAATTCTGAGCGAGACAGATCCCGAAACCCATCACCAGGGATCACAACACCTACAGCCCATAAGGTCATGTCTGATGTTGGATACTGATCCAAGCAGAGCAAGGATTCAATTTGGGTCTCCCACATCCTTAGTGGGTGCCTTGACCACACTGTTAAACATTTATCGTATTTTCTGACATGAATAAATGAAAACACTTTATTTCTGGGAAATACTACTCAATGCAAGTAGTTTTCATGCCCTACCAGCAGGCAGAGTCCCTTAGTCCCCAGTTTGAGCACTGGGGCTGGCTTTTTACAGAGCTGGAAAATGGCACAGCTCAGACTCAGCAGAGCTGCTCGATTCCACGTGCCAGCAAAGTAGAGCTGTCAAGGAAAAGGTCACTTCTCTAAAACACAGGCACAACAATGTTTGTTTTCTAGCCTTGCCATTGTAAATAGATGTTGAATTTTCCTTTTCCTAAATAAATTCATCCAGAAGCAGGCTGGTGAGAAAAAAATTCAGTCCAAAATCATTAGGATTTGGCAGAGCTGTAAGGAACTGGAAGGAGGGTTTTATAATGGGAAGTGTCAGGCTGTCTTAATAGGTACCATTACCAGCCCTGGCTTTGAGTGGCTAAACACAAACCTTTCCCCTGCTTGGAGATGGGAGAAGCAAAATGCTTGGCTTTATCCACATTTCTCACATATTTCAAAATGAAATAGCTCAGGACTTAATTCCTTATTCCACATTCAGTGAAGTCAGTGCTGGTGCTGTCAGGAGCACCATGGGCTTTAACAGTGGTATTCCTTTAAGAAATAGAGATTAAAAAGGAAGGGAAGCACCTGAAAAATTAATGTCTGCTCCTTTCATTTTAGGCCCATGCTGATTCTGGATTTGCTTTTGAGTTTTACGATGATTCAAAGGACCTGCTTGACGCCCTTAAAAGTGATAAATCCAAAACAACAGGCTTCACCATTGGAATTGGGCCTGGAGGTGCAGATCTCACGTTAAACCTGGGCCTCACTTTATCAGGTGGCAAAGGATCCCTGAAGAATTTCACACAATATGATGCAAAGGTAAAAAAAAAAGACCCAACCAATTCAGTGATGCATCTGCTCCAGTCGCATCATCTGTGCATCGCATGGTCTGGCTGTAACTTATGTCAGTTTATCCTCTCAATTGCATTTTTTAACACAGGGTAATTGTACCTTAATTTGTTCATGTAATTGCAAATGTATGATCGTTAGGAATCCTGTTTGCTGTTCTTGGTATGTTTTAGCAAACAGGGAGTGGGAATAAAATTGAATTACGGAGTGCCACGGCACATGTCATCTCACCCCATCCTGTTTCATGGCTACATTAAGCACATAAATAAAAAAATGCTTGAAAGTGACAATGAGGGAGGAGGGAATATCAAGATGCTGATCAAAACAATTATCCTCAAGGAATGATCTCTAGTAGCAAATATATCTTGCTCAAATTAATACGAGCTGCCTCGTGACGGGGAAATGGGCTACTTTTTACAGGAGGTTAAAATACCACGCTGAAAAAATAGCACCTGATAATAGGGTGTACTTCTCACAGAGGGTTTGCATCATGGACTGGCAGTGATGACCTCTTTCCAATCTAATAACATGAGTGTTGGTATTTCCCACATTTACCGTGGCCCATCCCCGCTTCTCTCCGGGCTGCTGACAGAAAACAATAAAGAAGAATTACTTTGATGGTTCTCTGAGTTAAAATGCCCTTAAAAGCTGTTTGAAATGAGTACCATTACAGTATTTACTGTGCCCTTGTCCAGACTCACATGATGTTTGCAGCTAAATGATGATCAGTTATTGGAGGAATCATTTAAAGGGTTGCTCATGTTGCAGTGGAGACTTGTCCAAAGCAATGGCAAATACAGAGGTGGAGCCTTGCACCTGGTGGTATATCCAGGAAATTCTCCCTCTATCAGCATCTTCCTGGCCAGGGAATCTCCCCTCTGCTGGTCTGGGCTTGACCCTTGTGCTCTGCCACTCACTGAGTTTGTGAAAAAAGCAAAAAGGAGGTAAACAATATGGAAAGGAAACCAGAAAAAGAAATTGCAGAAATGGAGAATGGAGGGGACTTATGTGGAGCCCAACTCTGATCATATTCACACATCAATAAAACCCCTGTAGTATCCAACCCCCCCAAGGCCTTCCACCTCCACAGCACATCAGAAAGAGACATTAAAAAAAGAATTACGTTATTTCATTTAAAATCAGGCTTGTTTTCATAAATGTATTGACAGTCAGAGACTCAGTCTTTCCCCTGCAAGCCTAAAGACTAGAAATTAATTTGTCTAAATGAATGTTGACTGCAGCTCCTCTTTCCTTTACCTGCAGGAGGTTGGATTCATTAGAGCTGTGACCAAGGTGCAGACAGCCCGCTTCAAGATGAGAAGGGACAACGTTGTTTTGGATGAAGATGTGCTGCTCTCCCTGCAGGACCTCCCAGACACCTACAACTATGGCATGTATGCCAAATTCATCAACGACTACGGCACCCACTTCATGACATCTGGCACCATGGGGGGTGTCTTTGAGTACATCCTTGTCATCAATAAGGAGGAAATGCGAAGAAAAGGTCAGAAAATCAAAATATATCCTCTGTTCTAAGCTTTCTGCTTTGAACCTGGTGTTTCCAACCTGCTGGCACTACTGGCCACGTGGCTTGGGATTAGCTTGAGGGTCACCAAATGTGCTTCCTGCTCTGATTTTAGAAGTACCTGGGTGAGGGTTTGGTCATTAAGGAAGGAACTTGAGCATTATATTCTCCATTTCTTCAGTGTCACTTGCTAATCTTCTCCTATTTCTTGTCATCTTTGTTCACCATGAATGCTTGAAGGCTGCAAAGCCACCCCGAGCTTAGCAAATCAGCCCTCTCACATTTCAGCCTGTTTGCAGTGAGGGCCACAATTTTCTGTAAATGGAAATACTGCACTGCACTCAGCAATACCTCTGCCACTTCACTCTGCTTAGTGTCACATCTGGAGACTAACAGACCCCTGTTAGCTCCACTTCTCAACAAATTGGAGTGTATGAGGCTGGAGGACCCTACCTGTAAATCTCAGTTAGATAAAACACCCACTGCAGACGCTGAGAGTGTGAGAATTGCCATTGCTAGCAAGTCAAAAATGTAACATTTTTCCTAATCAAAAACCTGAGATACAGAACAATAATATGGCTCAATAACCAGGTTGACAACTTTTGTAAAGGTGTCAACAATGCAATAGATCCCATTTCCCCTAAGGGCCATCACTCTGCTGTGCTGAGGGCACCACTGCCTTGGTAACTCCAGGCCAGACACTGATGAAGAAGGAAATTGAGATCTTGGACAACAGGTGCAAATTGCTGTAATTTCAGTAATTTCAATAATTTTCATGGTTCTGCCCCAGATTTTATCCCTGGTCTGAAATGGTTTGGTCCCATCAGCATAACTATGCACTCCATACTGCACATTAACCATGCCAATTTTTCCACAAGAAATTACTGATTGGGAGAATTTTCAGCAAGTTCCTGAACCTCTAATGTTTGGAAACATGATGCCTCTTCAAATTACTCCTTCACTTTGAAGGGTGAGTGATATAGAAGTGAACAAGGTCTTGGCAAGCAAGTCTTCAGGAAGCAGACTGCCAATTTCAGAGGAAGAATTAATCAAGAGCATGTGGAGGGAGGCTATTATTTTGCTTTATCTTGTGCTTTCTCTGTATGTAAGGAGATTTACTGCTATGAGATGCCTTATCTTAGGAGAGAAGGATACTGAAGTCCAGCAAAAGACAAAAATGCTCCCCAGTAGAGATGTAATTTTCATTCTAATGCAGCACCATTCTGTAATTTTCATCTAATCCAGGCTTTGCCAGAAAGTCCACCCTGACAAAGCCAGCAGTGCTCTGTGTCACACAGTGCTGACCCAGAAGGACCCACCTGCAGTGTCTGATATGCCACTGTCTGAAAGCATTTAGTAAAAAAAAAACAAACCTGATTTCTCTAATGTTGATCACAGCCATGCTTGGAGGCTGTGTTTGCAAGAGGATTATCCTCCTTCCCCGAAGAATGGTTAGGATCAGGATATAAGTGCTCAAGTCTTAAAATTAGAGCTTCCTAAGATGAGTCTGGAGCTCTGCAGATGCATCTCTGAGTCCCCACAGGGCTGAGCATGGCGCTGCTTCAGCTCAACCACTGCACCCTGAGGGCCCACCCAGCCCACGAGGCTGCTGGCTAAATGCTCTGGAACACAAAATATCCTTTTTTTATATAGCTCAGTGACTAAACCACAAACTCAGGAAAAAGATCCCTTGGCTGAGTCCTCCCTAAATGAGACGCAGCTTAGGTGGTCACTGAGCATCTGGCATTTGAGCATTTAGGAAAACTGAATTTTGAAAATGAAATCACCTCCTTGTTTAGCTATCCACAGCTCACTGCAGAGCTTAGGGCTGCAGGTTTGCTGCCAGACCCATTCCCAGCTTTCAGGCTGCAAGGGCTTATATGGATGTGGTCATGAGTGAAATAAATACATATGTCAGAGCAAGGTCCCTCGTTGCTCTGCCATCAATATTTTTCATTACTCGTTTTTAAAATAGATTGTTATGGTTCTATTATTTAGCAGAAAACAGTATAATGTGTTCACACATTACAAGAACATTTATGGGAGGAACATTATGCACGGAGTAAATTAGAAAGAGTCTTCATATATTCTGATTAATTCAAAATGCAGCAGTAAATCTTATCACTCGAGCACATTTAACTATCGCAAATTATATCATATAAAACAAAAAAAAAAACCCTACCAGGGCTCCCCCCTCGAGCACTAATATTTACTGAGGCCACCCTTTTGCAGTGATAACCACTTTTCATTTATCAAGACCCGATCTTGCCACGACCAATAGCGAACGGTATCGACAGCCCCTCGCTGAACATAATTACTCAACGGGAGCCATGGCAAATCAATTAATCAGGGTGTTCCTCAAGTTTAATTTTATGGCACTCCAGCACCAAGATAAGCAATCGCTCACGTTGCTTTGGGTGAGTGAACTTTACCCACTGTGTTTACAACTGTTGAACAGTTTAGTGCGAGTAATTGAGTGCTGCACGTTTAAATCTTTCTCAAGGGCCCAGTTTTGCAGTGGGATGCAGTTCCCAACTCCAGTCTGGAGCGTGTTTCAGCTCTCACCTGTCTGGAGGCAGGACCTGCAGCCCCTTTCTCAGGATGCTGAGTACCTGAGCAGGGTATGGATCCACCAGGCCAAGGAACAGATCTGTGCCCCAGAAGGGAACAATTTTCAGGTGACATCCCAGAGGGACCTGGACAAGCTCTGAGCCCTTGGGAACCTCACGAGGTCCCCACGTGCAGGTGATGGAAGGGCATTCTGCCCCTCTGCTGAGGCCCCACGTGCAGTGTTGCATCCATGTCCAGTGTCCCCAGCACTGGAGAGACGTGGAACTGGTGGGGCAAGTCCAGAGGAGGCCACAAAGCTTAGATCAGAGGAGTGGAGAACCTCTCCTATGAGAAAAGGCTGAGTGAATTTAGGTTGTTCAGCCTGGACAAGAAAAGGCTTCAGTGAAACTTCACTGCAGCCTTCCAGTGCTTAAAAGACATCAGAAAGACAGGTTTTAATCAGGGCCTGTTGTGACAGGACGAGGGGTGGTGGTTTTCAAATAAAAGAGGGTCAATGTTGATTAAAGAAGGCATGTTTTACAATGAGGTTGGTGAAACACTGGCACAAGTTGCCTGGAGAAGTGGTGGATGTCCCATCCCTGGATACATTCAAGGCCAGGTTGGACAGGGATCTGAACAAACTTGTGTAGTTGAAGATGTCCCTGCCCATGAGGGAGAGGAGCTGGACCACATGGCCCTTAAAAGTCCCTTTTAACCCAGACCATCCCATAACTCCACAAAACCAAAACCATGAGCATTCCAGCAATATTTTAAACACAAGCAAGGCCCTGCTTTCCAGTTCTGAGGTGAGGCTGTTCAGCAGACAGTGCTCCAGGGTGGGACTTGGACAGAGGTTTAAACTTCAAACCATTAAACCCCAACACACAAACCCCACTGACCTCTGTGCCTCCTTTCAAAACCATGCTATGGATCACCAGGCTTCTTTGGAAAACACTTTAAAGTCCTCTTGACAAAAAAAAAGAGCAATATAAAAGTTACCTATTACTTACAATACCCGCATTTACTGAAATCAATGGGCTTTTTAACTACTGAAGAGGACTGTCTTATATTTGCAGTAGACTGAAGTGCTTACATAAAACCAGGCTGTATGAAATATGCACATTGCTTACCTTGGTGAAACCACCTCATTAGCTCCCTTCTCCCCTCTGCAGTCACTTCATGGCTCTCCAGTTACATATTTTCATGATCTATGTGGTGGTGCCGGCAGCAGCAGGCAGGAAAGCTCTGGCAGCTCTCAGCACACATACTTTTTCTAAGGTAGTCCGTGAGGTGCTGCTCAAGCCATTAATGGGTGGGTCAGATCCTGAATTTAGGAAAATTAGTGAGGATCTATTGATTTCTGCTGCTCTTCCTGGCTTTACCGTAGCTATGAGTTAGTCTGTGAAAATAATCAAAGTTTTTTGTTAAATATATAGATCAAACAGAGACATTTGTGCCTGAAGCCTTAAGATTTTTACATTCTTCTAATATTTTCTAAGGAAACAATTTTTACACCTATTATATGATAGGCCCAATACACCCCAATAAAATATTGGGGTTTTGCACTGTCCTCTGCCCAGAATAGCTTTTGTCTTCTAAATAGAAACCATGAAAGTAACTGAATCTTTTCTTCAATGACAGAAAAGAGAAGTAGGAAAACAAACATCACGAATCACTCAATTTACCTGTCTACTTTCTGCTTTGCAGCCATCAGCATCGAGGAGATAAGTGCCTGTGTCGGTCTGTCCCTTGGCATCACAGCCAGCAGGGAGAGCCTGGGTCTGGCTGCAGCTCTGACACACTCTGACTGCAAACAGAAAGGACTCCTGGACACTGGTACAGCAGCAGGGCAGGGGTCTGTGGAGGCTCCTTGGGTCACTCCTGTTGGTCACTTGGGCTCAGAGGTTGTGTAGGGTCACTCAAGGGGTGGCTAGGAGGCTGCAGTCCGCAGCAATGACAGACTGGCCACTAAAAAACAGTCAAAATTTACTCTTAAGAAGTACTCAAAGAGGGTAGGAGCCCCCAGATTTGTACATTCCATAACGAGCTATAGGCAGTGTGATCTATTGCCCATGTCCTGCCCAGAAACCAAAGCTGGAGGAGTGCAGGCTCTTCAGATCTTATCAGCTTAGAGGATTTGGGATGCTCAACTTGTGGGCTCACCCCACAAGCCCTGAGCTCACACTGATCCCGGGAGGCAGCCCCCTGCACCATTGATCTCACCTCCACTGAGCAGCTTCTGGAGCCTGTGTGGAAACAGCAGCTGAATAATACCTGTGCAATTCAACCCTGCAGATGCTGAGAGCCACGGTGCAGTTGTGGAAGATATTATTCCCCGGATTAGAGGGGGAGATACCAGTTACAGTGGAGGGCTCCTGAAGAGTTGGGATGGCAAAATGTATCGTCACTGGGGCAGGTCATTAAAATATAATCCTGCTGTTATTGATTTCCAGGTAAGGCTTTTCTGCAGCTGAAGAAACTCTGCTGCTCTAAGGAATGAAAGTGTAGTCGAGCAGATCATTTCGTATTTTTATTGTGATCCCATCACAGAACAAGATTAAATGTAATGGGCCACTGATCTGGTAACCTCTTATTCATTTCACAATGGGGAGTACATCTCCCACTGACTGCAACCACAGGGAGACAGACAAGGAGCTTAATGCTGGATTAGTGCCACGTTAAGTTCCTGATGTGCTCCCCAACAGCTTCACAATGAAATGCAGCTATATTCATCCCTGGTATTCTCCCTGATGCTGTCTGCCCTCCTGTATAAGCAGAGGACTCACAGGGGGCTGGGGAAGGTGTTTTGTTACCCAGGAAAAGCTCTGCAAAGACAGCCCCCCTCCAGGATTTCTCTGAGCAGGGAGCTCCTGGCTGCTTTGTCAGGTGGGTCTTGTCTTTCTCCACACTCCAAAAAGAAGGCCATAAAATTCAGCCAGGCTCTAGTCTCCCTTTGTTTCACTGGATGCCCCATAAAATGGGAAGATCACATATAGAAGCATCTTATAGGGTTTCTGGGGTGGGAGGAGATGAGTGCAAGAAAAAGGGATGGAAAGAGACAGAGAGGAGTGACCCTACAAACAAATAATCCAGGGTAGAACTGGCAGAGGCACGAGGGGGTGGCCACAACTCCTCAGCTGTGGTCAGCAGGACCACAAGTACCCCATCACCAATCTGCTCCAGCAGAAGCTGTGGATTGTGGGGGAAGGATCTCTGTCAGGACAGGGACATGCTGACACTTCTATCCCTCTTGTCTTCATTTGAAAACAGGTCTGAAAGCTCTGACAGAGAGTGGGATGAGGGAAAATTGGTTTGGGAATTATCTGTGTTACTGGCAGGGCAAGAAGGACTGTGCAAACCTTCCTGGGCAGCAGCTGGTGGCAGAAAGATCTGATAACACAGAAGTGCTTTCAGTTCCAGCTGCAGGTTATTCACCTTTTTGCACAAGTTCCCATTAACTCTGGGCAAGATTTCTTGCAGTTTTCCAGTAAACCATGCTCTGACCTCTCTATTTTCCAGTAAACCATGCTCTGACCTCTCTGCTCCAGAGCTGAGCACTGACCCTGCAACCAGAGGGGCACTTCAGCAGCTCTTATCTGCAGTCCCCTCAGTTTGTCAACCAGGCTTGTGCAAATTTGCCTAAGGGCTCTTCCCAAAGCTCAGCTGATCCTGATCCTCCCCACAAATCACTCTCACAGTGCCTTGCACAGTGAGCTGACACCCAGCTCTTCCCTGGAACAAATTCCTGGCCTAGACAGGGAGCGTTTGCATTGATGGACAAATGTAAATAAGTGTCCTCACACAGTCCCAAATTTTTAGCTTTAATACTCATTAAAGGTTAATATTCAGTTGGGCAAGTTATAATTGCTGCCAAAACTGGACTATTTTTGCTGACTGGTAAATAGGAACTGGATTGTGCTGCTGGAAAATATGATCAGTGAGTTACATTCCCGAAGTTGTAGATGACAGTGTTATTTCACTACATCAAAGGGCAAAAGATATATAGGCAAAATTCCTCATTCTCGGCATTTACTGGATATTTTACAAGCTGGCCACTGCAAGGGGTAGGGTGGCAATAAATTTTGATGATACCCTCTGTCCAAAGCTCTTACCAAAACATTTTCTTCAAAAAGGCAAAGAGCATGCAAGAATCTCAGGGATTGTGACAGCACTAAGAAATCAGTCAAAAAAATGGGCTTACTGGGGTGTTTTAATTTATCATTCGAATCCCTGCTAAAACCCCAAAGCATGTCCAGAAAAGCCAATCCCACAGAAACCTCCAAGACGAGGAAGGTTTTGGAACGGTGGCTCCTCGCTGGGGCAGCAACACATTTGCATGATGTTCATGCAGCTGTCGAGGAAGACAAATGAGTTTTTCCCCGAGTCCTGAATTTATCCAGCAATGTCACAGCATCCCAGTCGATGCCCAGCTGAAATGGTTTCCATGCCATCCATCTCCATTCCCTGCAGCTGCAGCCCATCCACGAAATCCTCCGCCGGAGCAACCTGGGCAGCGTGGAGAGCAAAATGCAGCACCTGAAGAGGGCTGTGGATGAGTTCCTGCTGGAGTTCAGCCCCTGCCGCTGTGGGCCGTGCCACAACAACGGGGAGCCCGTGCTGGTGGGTGACAGCTGCTCCTGCCAGTGCCGCCCTGGCTACAGAGGACCTGCCTGCCAGCACACCGAGCGCCCAGGTGAGAGCCCAGCCCTGGCAGGGCAGGGGGAAAGGTGCCTGTGTCACTCTGTCCCTTGGCATCACAGCCAGCAGGGAGAGCCTGGCTCTGGCTGCAGCTCTGACACTTGTGTAGGGTCACACAGGGGGTGAGAAAGGGAGCTCTGGTGCCGTCCCCCAGACAAGGAAGGACCACAGAAACTTTGGGTCCGCGTCCCCAGGAGTACTGATCCCTCTTAGAAGAGCAGGGATTAATGGAGCAGTATCTGGATTAGAAACAGAGGCTCTGAGGTGGCTAGGAGGCTGCAGTCCACAGCAATGACAGACTGGCAACTAAAAAACAGTCAAAATTGACTCTTAAGAAGTACACAAAGAGGGTAGGAGCCCCCAGATTTGTACATTCCATAACGAGCTATAGGCAGTGTGATCTATTGCCCATGTCCTGCCCAGAAACCAAAGCTGGAGGAGTGCAGGTTCTTCAGGTCTTATCAGCTTAGAGGATTTGGGATGCTCAAAAGGGGATGGGTTTCCCCCTCCACGTGCCTAAACCCACAGCTCCTGCCACCCACACATCAATCCCTTCTGGGTTTTGTTGCTGTGTTATGCCCAGCAGCCCTGCAAGGCACGGAGGTGAGCAGCTCAGGAGATGGGGGAATGGCTTTAGATTGAAAAAGAGAAGGGTTAGGTTAGATATCAAGAAGAAAATCTTCCCTGTGTGGGTGGTGAGGCCCTGGCACAGGTTGTCCCATCCCAGGCAGTGTCCAAAGTCGGGTTGGACAGGGCTTGGAGCAGCCTGGGATAATGGAAGTTATCCCTGCCCATGGCAGAGGGGCTGGAATGAGGTCTTCCCTTCCAACCCAAACCATTCTATAATTAATTATTAATATAAATAGAATAGTGGAAGTGAGGGTGTGTTTAATTGCTGGATTAAATCCAGGAAATCCTCTGGAGGGCTTGTGGCATCCCACTAAGGATGGCTGCTCCAAGTGGGAGAGCACAAACCTCAGCAGGAGGGGAGGGGAAAGGCTCAGGTGAAGCAACTGCTCACACAACGTGCCACCAAAAAAGCAGTTTTAGTAAAAAACTGCTACACTGCCAGATTTCCCACCCCCTCCTGGGATGGGGTTTTGACTAGAGTGTCTATTTTGGGGTGAAAAAATATGTTTTTCTAAAGTGACAGGCTTATATTTATGTTTTCTTTGTCACTTTCTATACTATCCTAAAAAGTTAAGTGGGTAGCAAAAAAAGCTGGGGTCAGAACAGGCTCTTTCATTTCCAAAAAAAAAGTTGCAGTTCTCTCTGGATATTTTTGACCTGATTAATGATGACCAAAAAAAAAAAAAAAAAAAAAATCTAAATCTCAGCACATGAAGCTGGCAGAAAAATCCATCTTCAGAGCAGCTCCACCAGGCAGAGCTCCAGGCCTTCAACCGTGGGCTCATCACTGGGGTCTCACCAGCAGGGAATCAAAGCTGTGATGAGACAAGGAGTTGGAGCAGAGCTGGGGAGATGCTTTGTGAGGCTGAATGCCAAAGCTTTGCTTCAGCGACTATGAAGTGGGTTTCTTTAAAAAGCTCAGGTTCTTTAAGTTGTCTCCAAGTCTCAGGAATTTGCTTGGGAAACCCAGGACCTGCCACCAAAGCAGAGCACTGGACCAGCCAGCCCTGTGCTCCTTGATTTTAGCAACAGTGGGGACAGGCACACTTCTAAACCCATGGGCAATTTTTAGTGTCAAGTTTTACGTTGCAAAACTCATTTAAGACCGAACAAATGTTTTTTTTTTTAAAGCACCATGTTCCAGCAGATGGAAAATGCAGCTTCCCAGCCAGCACTAAGTAAGAGCACACACATCCATTTGCCCTGTCTGGATTAATAAAGTGCCCAAGGCAGGCATGAAGGCCAGATGAGTAAATAAAAAACGACAGTAAATGACAGCCATCAAGCATTCCCATCATTCAGGAGCACCACCATAATCCATAGTATCGACCGCTCCTGACAACTCAGTCTGTGCTGTAATGAAAAAGCTTTGAAATGACCCATCTCCAAAAGGACTTTTCACATCCCCACTATTGTAAATGTAGGCAAACCTAATGGGAAGAAATGAGGATGTCTGACTCAATTCAGAAGGCTGAATTATTTCTTTATTATAATTATGCTAAAATACATTAATATACTATATAAAAGGAGGATACCAAAACTACATACTACTTTCTCTGACTATCTCTAACACAACTTGTGACCCTCTCTCTTGAGTCCAGCCCCAGGTGGATTGGATTGGCCATCAGGCTCAAACAATCCTCACCAGAATCCAACCAAGCACTCACTCTAGGAAACAATTCTCCAAACACATTCCACATAAGAAAAACAAGGAGCAGAAATAGGAATTGTTTTCTCTTTCATTTCTCTCTGTTCACCTCTATGAAAAATCCTGAGAGGGAGAGAAATGTTCTTGCCACACCCCACTGTGTTAGGGGACTTCTGTCCCTCTGCTTTGGTCAGAGGCAAGGAAGTTGCAGCAGAGAGAGCTGTGAGCTGTGCTTTGGGAAAGGGAAACCAAGGCAGAGGGTTTCAGATGAGATGGACAAGAAAGAGCTGTTGGTGTTTGGGGTGATGCTGATTCAGAGTGCCCTGATCCCAACAGCCTGGGCCTGGCTGGCCTAGAGCAGGGAGCCCCTATCCAGAGAAGTTCCAGCCAGACCTGAAATCCCTTTTTTTTGTTTGTTTTTCCCTTTCTTTGTGCGTGTGCCCAGGTGGTGAGACGGACGGGCGCTGGAGCTGCTGGTCGGGCTGGTCGCCGTGCCAGGCTGGGACAACACAGCGCAGCCGGCACTGCTCCAACCCTGCCCCGCGGCACGGCGGGCAGCCCTGCGCTGGGAGAGACCTCCAGAGCAGAGCCTGCTGACAGCCCAGCCTGCTGACAGCCCAAGGTGCCTGGGACGGGGTGCTTTGGATCCTGGGCTGGGCTGTAAATACGCCAGGAGCGCGGTGGAATTACCCCTGGGAGGAATTATTGACCGGTGACGCGGTTCTGCATATGTCAAACCTGGCCAAGTGCTGCCATGGTTTTGCCCCACCAGATTCATCCTTCCCAACACCCCACCAGATCCATCCCTCCCAACACCCCACCAGATCCATCCTTCCCGACACCCCACCAGTGAGCACAGGAGGTGGCACAGAATCCACCCAAAGGGGCTGCTGGGTGACCACGGGGCTACGGCGTGTCGTGAAATAAATTCACCGCGAGTGTTTACACAACTGAGCTTGACTCCCAGGGCGTTTGTATATTTTCCTTTGGGAAACAGAGGAAGAGCTCATGATCTATGCAGTTGGTATTGACATATGTACCACGAAACTTTTGTAAGTTGGCACTGTCAGATTTGTGAGTCCAGCATATTGGCCAGGGCTGCCTTTGCAGCAAAGCCATATGCTGCTCTGCACGGAGAAGGCTTCAGCCTAAAGATGCTTTGCAGAGTGTAAGCCCAAGCTGATGAGGAATTTTAAATAAATAAATAAAGCAATAAATAGAGAGGCTCGAACGCAACCGCTGGGCAGAGGATGTTCCCACACAAGCAAAGGCTTCTCCTCTGTAAGATCAGTGATGAATTGACTATTAGCACGCAGGCATTTTATCTCCCAGGCACACAGAGCCTGAGAAGATGCTAACAGGCTGCTTGATTTAAGGGGCTTTTTTGAATGTGAGACGTAAATCTCAGCACAAGAATGCACACAGTATTGAACTGTGTCCAGAGACCACGGAGAGAGCCTGCAGCTCCCTCTTCTTAATGAACTGCCACAAAAACCCGGGATGGACGGGAGGCGAATGGCACTTCATTTTACTGAGCTTTTCAGGGTAGGGGGAGAAGGGGGGAAAAAGCCCTGAGAAGGAATCAGGCATTAGGAACAACAACAGCACCAAAACCTCAAAGCACAAAGCAGCCCTTCTGTAGGCATTTGAATGGAGAGAGGGGGCAGAAAGGAATGGTGGTTTAGTGAAAGAAATTGCTCAGGTGCCTGGAAATGCTTGTTTTTCAACTGTGTGGCAGTGGGGATTTACAGGCTGACACTCAGCTGATGTAAATCAGTGTTGCTCCTTCACTGCAGCTGATTTATGGCACCTGAAGATCTGGCCCCATATTTTCTTTTGTGGGCATGTTTGCCAAAGGGCAGTTTTTTCACCACTTTTTTTTTTTTTTTGCTTGTAAATGAAACTATGGGCTGAAAACAACAAACCATGCTGTCTCAACTCCTGAGATGGATTGTTCTGTGAAAAATCCCTTTGCTGGGGGGCAAAGCTGTGGCCTTTTGGGCCAACCTTGCTATTCCAGGTGAAGGAGCTGTTCACCCAGAGAGGAATTTGCTCCCAAGGGCTTGAATTTGGTGTCTTCTGTGTTAGGAAATGCAGCAGCACGAAGCACCCGTGGATCAGTGTGACTTAGATATCCAAAGGAATGTGAAATGTAGCATCACAACAAGTGATTTAATGAATCTGGGCTGCCTGGTTATGTGGCAACACGAGACAGGGCTCTTATACCAAGGACCAGTTTGGATCACAAGCAATTCTTACCTTCACATCGACTTCTTAGGACTCAGGAAAACGCCTGCAAGTAAATGAGTACAAAATCACCTCAGTCAGAAAACCAAGTACGCTTCTTTTTTGACCAGAGGGGAGAAATTAATGAACAGAAAGATCTGATGCCTTGGAGGCTGGGAAAAGATGGGGCCTGCAGGAAAACAACCTGCATCCTCAGCTTCTAGAGTTATTTCTAAAAGGATAAATCACAGAAGAACCACCAAAAAAACCCAAAAATCCTAGTGATTAAAGAAACTGCATGCAAAATCCCCATGAAACATATAAATAAAAGCAGAAAAGCTATGTTTTACCTGCAGTTGTTCATTCTCATCACTCACCTCACAGCCCAAGGCACTGAGACACAAACCCAAGGGCTTCCTTCAGACACCAAAGGCAGGTGGGTAGTGCCCCTCTCCTCCCCCTCCACCCCAGGGCTCAAACATCCACATGCTGAAACCCAGGAGCAGCGAAGCTGAAGTCAGAAGAAAGGAAGAAGATGCCTGGGAAAAAAAAAAAAAAAAGGATGATGAGCAATTACACATTTACAATGGCAGTGGAAGAAGCTAATATATCTCATGCTGAAGTGGGCAGCAGGAGAGTTGTGCAAGATGAGATAAGCAGCAAAATGTACGTTTCTTAGCTAAACTAAAAGCTTAGAGGGTACAATAAAACACTGCAGTTCCACCCGGGTTTTAATGAATGGATTTTCCCCTCTTGCACACTGACATACATTTGATATAGTTATTTATCCTATATATTTCTGGAAGCATATTTCCCAGGAGACCTTGTTTATCTCTCTCATAAGCACATGATGGATGTATGGCGCTTTGGATAAATGGTATCACAATCAGATATTTTTATGGATATAGGCAAACTGGGTTATTAACAAAGGAAGGGCAGAGAGGAACCAGCACGCAGAAGAAAATAGGAAATGATTGATGACAATACACCTGAGGTTGCAAGGTGTAGGCTCCAGATAACCAGCTAACAGAAGAGGAGATAAGGGCAGTGCTTGAGACAGAGCTGTTTTCTACCTCGGGGTCAATGTCACATCAGCTGCCCCAGCGCCTGCATCCCTCTGAGCCTGGGAGTTTAGAGCAGGCAAAAATTCCCTGGCAGGAGCAGCTCAAAAATTGTTGCCTTCCCTTTTTATCCAGCAGAATGCACAGGCAGATACAAAGCTCTTAATCCCACCAGAAAAACCTGAAACAAAAGAAATTCCAGGTTCTGGTGAGTTTGGAGAGGGACTGGTGTTGGTGGTGCAGTGGGACCCGTGGTGCTGCACTACAAATAAGTAAAAATATTGGTTTATAATGGTAATAATTGCTGTGTTCAACTCTAGCTTTTTGATTTACAGAAACAGGAGGTGTTAAAATGGCATATAAAGGGGAGATAAATCTGCAGGCACGATTTGACCTGAAATCTGGCAGTTGTGTTGGCTGCTCACTGGGCTCTTCAGCCACCAGGGTAAAACCAGGAGTTTGAAATTTGGGGACTGCTAATACCTCTGCATGGCCTTTCTGGGTTGCTTTCAGCAAAACAGCTGGATGTGGGAGAGAAGCTGGGCAGGAACAACTACATCCATCTGAAAGGGGGAGAAACACAGCAAGATTTAGCAATACAGAGTTTGCAAATCTCCAGCTGCAGCCTGGACGATGTTCCAGCCTCACAGGTAAAGTGTCTGCGTGATATGACACCACAGGCAGCACATGAAGCCAGGCTGGAAAGCAGTCCAGTTTCCCACTGCTGATGGAGATGTTAGAGTGGCAAAATTCCAGCTGGTTTTGTCCTGGGAAAGCTGGATGAGGCAATCACCACCCACCTGAAATACCCTCCTGGGAGTTCCTGAAGCCAGGATACCACAGCAGCAATGTCTTTGAGAGGGGAGATGCAAATAAACACAGCCTCTCTGTGTTTATCCTCTTCTTCTCCTCATGAAAACTTGTGAAAATACAACATGGGATGCAGGAGAGCCCCAGTGAGAGGAGGATCTTAACCAGAGGAAGAGGCTGGAGCAGCAGAAGCAGTGCTGAACACGTGCACAGCCTTCCTGAGCCCTCACTGCAGGGATATTAATCTGAACTTACACAGGGAGGGAGAGTTAGGAACACCACTAAAAGATGGTACCAAAATTTAATGGCAACCAAAATGAAACAATAAAAGCTTCAGCATAGTATTTTTTATTACCCTCCAGGTTATAATAAATCATTAGTTAGGTGAATCAAAGCAGGAAATCACAAGGACAAGATAAAGTTATGTCCTTTATGAGAGGTTTCTAAGCCTACAGGCTGAATATTCAGCCACTGGAATCATACTTCAGTCAGACTGTCCTGATGATCCTGATGGCTGTCAAACCTCTCCTCTCTTCCTCCAAAAAAAAACCCAAAATCCAAATATACAAACTCAGGTACTGTTACCACTTCCAAAAATCTGTGTTTTTCTGGTTTGGGAACAACAGTCCCAAATCAGGTTGCTACACTTGGCTGTCCTTGCCACAGCAGTGGACAGAGGCACCACTGCTGTGTGTCTGACCAGCTTGATGATCAGGAAAGGTGGTTCAAGTCACAAAAGTCACTTGACTCATCTGAGAAATGCCCTTAATCAGATTACACTGGAGATTCTCAGGAAGGGCAGGCAGTGACCTCAGAGGTGAGCCACGCTCCGGGTCCTCACCTGCAGAGCATCTCCAGAGCCCCTGCAAAAAAACTTGGAGGCATATCCTCCTTCACACAAGCAGTGACCTATTTGACCATGACCCAAAAAAGAATCTCTTGGCAAATTTCCACCAGACAAAAGATATTGCAGCTACCCATTGGAAAAGGGAAATGTTTTGGGTTGGCAGCTAAATGATGAAGGCCATAATGAGCACAGAGCCCTCTTGTTTTACATATGCAATGTGCTCTGCCTTTCTTAAAGCTGTCACAGGAGCCCTGTGGATAAGTGTGGAGGCGGCATGAGGGCTACAACTAAATGCATGTTCCATTGTTGAGATGTCAGGGAGCCTGAGCTGCTCTCACAGGAATTACATTCAGACAACGTCAGTCTGAAAGGGAAGAACGGGCGAAACCAGCCCACCATCACCAGCTCTGCTAAAAAACCCTCAGCAGAAGAGTTTGACCTTGCAGATGTTAGAAGACTCACAGCACTCCTGAACAACTTTGCACTGCTGGAATTGCCTTTTGGAGCAAAGCTGTCGCTGGTTATTTCACAGCAGGCCCAACCAAATGTCTTTGCAAAAATCATTTACCACCACCAAAGCTGCAGGAGGCAAATCCCTGGAAGGATCCAGGCTCATGAAATGGTTTGAAAGGTTTTTAAGTTTGAAGTTTTTAAGGTACAGGGTTTTAAAGTTCCTCTGTTGTTAGACCTGGACTGTGCTGCACAGCCCCAGTAGGGTAACAAAAGGCAAACCAATTTGTCTCTTTTCACAGTGAACTCTCTCCAAGTCAGATGTCCCACCCTGGATGGACCCAGCAGCAGCTGGAATACTGGATTTCATGGGATCAGACTTATTAACCACAGCTTGTCTGGGGCAAACACAGCTGCTAAGGGCAGAAGACCTTGGGGATGTGCAGACAGCTTTTTCAAAATGTTCCACTTGTCCCAGAGAAGCTGTGGCTGCCCCTGGATCCCTGGAAGTGTTCAGGGCCAGGGTGGACAGAGCTTGGAGCAACCTGGAATAGTGGAAGATGTGGAGGGGTGGGAACAGTGAAACAGTGCAATAAATTGGGAAAGCAGAGTAGTGAGGCACAGTGGCTCTAAATGTCACGTTAGATACTGTTGTGCTCATTGAGATTTAGGCTTTAATGTGCTGGATTTTGCTCCACACGACACAGCTGCCGTCACAGAAGCTGTGCATCAGTGCACATCCTGCTGCACGGGAGATCAAAGTGTCTCTTCTTATCTCAAAGGGACCTTCAACAACAAGACAGTGCAATTTGAAATCATGCAGCTACCAAAAACAGGCAGAGATAAAGCTTGTCTCATTTAGCCCGTTGCAATAAAGACAGGGAAAAGGCAAAATATTGAGGTCAGTAAGCACATTCAATCCCACGGGACATGTTAGGAACCCACAAAGGTGTGGTTCCTAACACCCTCCCAGCTCCCAATGTCTCCTGAAATGTTTCTGATTTGGATGAGACCCATGGGCAGAGCGAGGCCAACTCAGATAGCCAGTGAGGTTGATAGTAAAAGGGTTTAAAATCATGGGGATTTAGGGTTAAAAGGAAAATTAAGCTTCGTAGGCCCTGAAAAGAAAATAAATACCCTGAGTACAGGAAGACTTTGTACCTTACTAGAACTGTACCTGTGTAGCTAGTACATGATCAATGATATAATTGTTAGATGTGATGATTGTTTAGTAATTAAATATAATTACTATTTAATCGTAAGCATAATAATGAGAAACTGTGGTCAGGGGCCTAAGGAAGATCACGAGAAACTCATGTCAATGTATCCAATAGAACAATATAAGTTTAATAATTAATATGTGAGTTATATAATGATAGAATATAAAATGTGTTCAGCTCAAAAGCCGTGTCACAGTCAGATTTGGGTCTGTACCCCTGATTCCCAGAGCTCTCAATAAAAGCACCTGCAGACAATCCTATCCCGTGATGATGTGTGTTCCTGAACACTAACAAGGTGATGTCTTCCCAAGCAGTCTGCCCATCAGTGGTTCCCCACTGATTCCTTCTAGCAAGGAGCTGCCTCATAGGCTGGCCCCGAGCACGAGGAGCCCCCATTCTGTGGGGCAGGGTTGTTGCACTGTCGCCTTCTTGTCCTCTGACCTCCTGAGCACGGGGACCAGCTGGCCCAGCACCCCCAGTTCCCATTAACAGCAGCATCTGGAAAAGAAACAACAACAAAGCTGGACAGGACCTTCAGAAACAAGCAGCTCTTTCCATGGGAAGAGCTGTCAGCTGCCATGAATCGTATCTGAACAAACATCCCTGCCCCTGTCCACATCACTAACAATACACTGGAGTCATTAACAATGAGGGATTGTTTCAGAGGTGTTAATTCTCTGCTCAGCATCTCTGGTGTTGGTTTAAACTACACTTGAGGTAGACATGAAAGATGGGGAAAAAAGGGGAAATTAGCTTTATATTTGATTGAAGGATGTTTCTATCTCTGTCGTAGTCCAAGCCTCAATAGGAAACAGACCAACTAAACTTGTCTCAGCCACATTTAGAGGTGGTAGGGGCAGTGTTAGCACTTCAATGAACAACAGCTTGACTATTCAGCTTTCCCTCCATTGCTTTTCCTATTACACTGATTCTTCTGGACCCTGAGCATGTGAGTGACATAAATTCAAAATACTGAGAATCACGGAGGCAACACATAAAAGGAGGAAATGGGAGTTAGAAATGAAGTTACAGCGTTGACAAATGGATGGATGTGAGCTTTGGGAGGTTTGGATGTGGCTATGAGTGTGAAAAACAGACTGAAGTGAGGTGTCAGTGACTCCACCCTTCAAGGCTCCATGGACTACCTTAGAAATACCCAAAAAATTGACCCCCTGTTCAGTGGAATCTTGGCTTAAAGTGCATTTAAGGCTGGCTCAGTTTGGACACAGCCATGCAGAATGAGTACTGGGTAAGGCTGTAAACATAGCCAGTGATAAATGCAGTGCATCGAATTGTGGGTTGGTGCCAGAGCTCTGGGTGCCTGAGATCTGGTATTATTTAGCATCTAAATTAATGAGCTGGAAGAAGTAAACAAAATGATTAAATTCATAGATGATCCTAAACTAGAAGGAGTTAAGAACATCAGTCAGGAGACAGCGGAGACATAAAGTGACCAAGAAGCATTAATAAATCCTTCAAAATAACATAACAAGATTTTAAGATTAAAAAGCATGGTAGCATATCTAGGGGAGAACAGTTTGCAACATGCTGGCTTTATCAAAGGGAAAAACTTAGGAAACAGAGCTGTTTCCTAAGGAGGAGACCTGAGGCTTTCCAGGGATTGTGAACTAGGCAGGAATTCCTATTTTGATACAACTGCAAGGCACGCACAGGCAAAAATAAACCCACCTCCTCAAGAGGGCACAGAAATTCAGAAGAGGGCAGGGAAAACACATCTGTCCCCTTTGCAGGGAACACCAGCTGGGTGCACTGGGCTGGGCAGGCAGGGTAGAGCCAGGGTGGCATCAGTCCCTATCTGTTGGAACTCAAAATGTCCCTCAGACATTTTTGGAGGTTCCAGGCCCTGGTCAGAAGCATTTGAGACCCTGGCAGGCAGCTGGAAACAGCTGTGATTTTGGGTTTCAGCCATGGAATGAGTTACCAACTTTGAAGGTGGAACAAGAAGTCACAGAAGTTTAGATATTACAGTAGAAGTAGTTATAAAGTAGAGGGAAGAATTTTTTAGTATTGTACAAGGGGGGTTTAACACCTGTACAGGGTTTGGGTTTTTACTTTGTACAGGGGGGTCAGAGGGTTTAAGATGGAGGAATGTAGGCCGGCCCTGTTCCTCCTCTTTCTTCTTCCTCACCTCCATGTTCTTGATGATGTTGGCACTCACAGATTGGTTTAGAGTAGAAAAGCACCATTTAATATAGGTATTGGGGAAAACTGTAAACATTTTACATTAATGTACCATATAAAAGACAGCACAGCCCTGGGCGGGGAGAGAAGAAGCAGTCAGGAGTCAGAGAGGATGTCAGGGTGTGTGTGTGCCTCTGCCTGAGCTGTGAGCAAACCACAGCAGCTCCAGAAGAAAATCTTTTAGATAACTTGCAATAAACTGCCTTGAGACCGAACAACAAGAGACTGATGAGTTTTCTTTGGAAGCACGAGCTGGAGGAGAGAATTTTCCACCACACGGAGCCCTGAACCAGGCCTGGGTTCTGACACCCATCCATCAGCTGCCAGCCCTGGACACCCCTGACAGAGCTGGGATTCTCCTGGGGGTCCCTCACCTTTCCTCCTGCTGGTCTCGCAGGCGGCGCCGCTGTAGCCCAGGGGACACAAGCACTCACACTCTGTTCCTGAAAACAAGCACAGAGGTGGAATTACACACCTGGAGCCACATTTCCCAGCAGGCATCCACTGCTCCCCAGCACTTCATCTTCTGGGAGGAAGGGGCAGTGGGTGAAATGTCATCATTTTTCTCCGGTGCTGAAGGGATCAATGCCAGTAAATAGGGGAGCTGTGACTGCCCTGCACCCCCCTCTCACCTCCCCAGACATTTGTTCCTGCCCTGCAGATAAACCTCAGACTCACTGCTGCAATTCTACAAGCCAGGGGACCACAGAGTCCTCCTGCTCTTCTCCAAGAGAGATCACAGAATCCTGGAATGGTTTGGGCTGGGAGGGACCCTAAAGCTCATCCCATCCCCTGCCATGGGCAGGGACACTTTCCATTGTCCCTGGCGGCTCCAAGCCCTGCCCAGCCTGGCCTTGGGCACTGCCAGGGATCCAGGGGCAGCCACAGCTGCTCTGAGCACCCTGTGCCAGGGCCTGCCCACCCTCACAGCCAGGAATTCCTTCCCAATATTTCATCTAATCCTGCCTTCCCTGTGCCCTCCTCTGGACTCACTCCAGCAGCTCCGTGTCCTTTTAACATTTGGGGTTTCAGACCTGGACACAGCACTGCAGGTGGAGAGAGCTCAGGGTAAAGCTGATAAACAAACTGCAGCATCAAGAAGGAGCAACCAGGACAGGAATATCCTCATTTGGCTTTGTGGCAGAGGAAAAGCTCAATATCCCTGCTCTGGCTGCTCAGGGACGTGCATCCCATGTCAGGAACCTGGAGAAGAGTTCCCACTTAGGAAAATATATGGCCATTTAAAACCTTAGCTGAGAAGATCCTAAATGAAATACTAACCTGGACTCAGCTCCTACAAAGTTATTTTAACAAAGGTCACCACGAGACAAATGGTTGAAGTGCTACAATCAGCTGCTGGTACCTGAAGTGATCATTTCTGCATTAGATACAATTTGATGATAACAATTCTCATCAGGACTTTTGCAGATGCAGATTGGAATTAGGCACTTGACAAAATGGTCCTTTTGTTGGAAGCTCTCATCATATCATATGTCTTTTGTTTAGGCAGAGTGGTTTTCATTCAATTTATTTTTCCCCTTAATTTTTAAAATCACAGCCTGCTTACAGAGGAGGACAGCTCCTATCAGAAACAGGGGGAGGTGGTGGTGGTGATCACTGTGCTTGGCACTTACATGGTGCTTTTCATCTTCAAAACCCTTTTACAAACACTAATTAATGCTGAGACAATAGTCACTTCTCCAGGAGGATGGAAGCAATCTTAAAAGCAAAAGGAGGAGACTTAAATATGTCAAGGATCATTTTTTCAAATGCATAACTGGGAAGTAACAAATTCTTCTGTAAAACTGATACAGGTAATGGTCACTCCCATGACAAAGACACATCCCTTGACTTTGCTGTCTTTCCTTACCAGGACTCTACAAACACAGCAACTTTAAAAACACAGAGCAATTCCCTGGTAAAGAAATGACAGGAAAAACTAAAGAGCAACTTGCTTACCACATGGTCCCCACAATTTCCCAACTAATTTCCTTATCACTGTACAACTCCCTGAAAGGTGGTTGGAGTCAGGTGGGGTTTGGTCCCTTTCACCAGGCAGCACTGACAGAATGAGAGGACACAGTCTCAGGCTGTGCCAAGGGAAATAAAGGTTGGAATAAATTCTGAGATTCTTTATCTTATTCAAGATAAAGTTCTGGAACAGCCTGGCTGTGGAGGCAGTGGAGTCACCATCCCTGGGTGTGTTTAAACAAAGCCTGGATGTGGCACTGGGTGCCAGGGTTCAGCTGAGGTGTTGGGGCTGGACTTGATGATCTTGAAGGTCTCTTCCAACCTGGTGATTCTGTGAATTCAGTCAAGGGGGCAGGAAAGAGGAGCAGGAGCCCTGTACCTCTGAGGAAGGGGGTGCCATTCCCGTGGCACGGAGCACAGCGACAGGAGCTGCTCTCCAGCTGGAACTCATCCAGAGCCCGGCGCAGATTCTCCTTTATTTTCATGGAATCAGCCAAGTCAGAGGGAGTCACCAGCTCATACAGCGGCTCTGCCTATGGGGAGGGGAGAAACTTCATTAATTCCCAAGCTCAAAATGCCATGAACATCTCAAGGCTCAGCAGCGGCACAGCTGGAGGGGGAAATGGAGGCTGTGCAGCACAAACTCCACATTTCCCATTGCTATTTGCTAAAACCTTGTGAAAAATGAGGCCACGATGTCAGGAATACTCCCAGGGATGCTCCCCTTGGTTTCCAACACCAGAGGAGCAACAGCATTTTTTGGGTAACAAAATACAGCATCTAACCCGTTGGGTAAGAAACAGCCTAAGTTGCACAGGAGTTTCATTAAATCCTTTCTCATCCATTTTTCTGGTACAGACATTTTTAGATCAGATTTACCCAAACTTACATTTTCTGAGTGACATTCTTATTTTAAAAATTTCCCCTAAAAAACATCCACAAAAATCTCCTCCTACAGCCCCCCAGCACAGAGGCACCAGTCACAGGGATTCACATCAGCACTTCCACCTTCACCACTCCTGCAATTCAAGGCTGTTTTTTATCCTTATGGAGCCCAGATAAGTGTTTAATTGCCTTCCAGAAGGGAGAGGATTTGGTCTCCATCTGGGGAGAGAAGACAAGAGCGTGCACAGTACAGTGAACGTGCAGGACCAAGGAGACTTTGGCTCACTCATTTATTTTCCTCCTGAGAACAAGGAAAAGTTAAAGTGGGGTGTCAATAGTGCCAGCCCCCCATTACTGCCTGTGGGATGACAATTCCATGTGCCATGTGAGGATCCATCCCAAATTCCCATCCTCACTGCAGAGATGCTGCCATGCAGGCCACACACAGGAAGCATAAAGCTCACCCTCCTCCTCCTATCACAGGCTCCAACTACAAGAATGTTCCAATTAAAAAAAAAAAATCCTCATTTCCTGCTGCTGTACATCCACTCTTCATCAATTATCTGTGATCCATACTTTGCTTTTTGAATTCAGACCATACAAATGAGGAAATACACTAAGAGTGACCTGCCAAGTCCCTCCAGCAGATGATTTATGAACTGATTTGCTTTGGTTTTCCCTAACTAAGCATTCTTGGGCTGACATTTAGTCACACTCCACTGGTACTTTTGATCTTCCAGCCCCACAGGGATATTGGTATGGAAATGAAGATCCCAAATCCAAATTACATCCGCCTGAGGTTTTTCACTGGGCAGCCTGGTCAGTGATGCCAGGCAAGACAAAGAACACCTCAGTTCCTCATGGGAGGTTTTTCTGTGTGGGGGATTTGGTGCAGAGGTCTGCATTTCTCTTGTCTGCTGCCCTGAAACCTCCCAGTGCATTCCTGGAAGGTCAATCCACAACACACCAGGGGCTGCAGCAAGTCCAGATGGGCACTGGCTGTATTTCCAAATTACTCTTTTTTTGCTTGATTCACCTTTTTAGAATTCACCTCTTTTTTGAGAAACACCCCCCTTTTACAAATGTAAAGATATTTGCCTAAAATTAATTTTACAATGAAAAAAACTATAAATCAATTTCCACCTCTACCAGTCCAAACTCCTGTTTAAAAGGATGTTCTCTTGCACCTTTGTACTATTCACTCATTTTGACATTAAAGATGATGAGGCAGAATTGCTACACACTTCTGCTTGTTTTTTTGCATTTCTAAAACTCTCCAGGGATCAAAAATCCTTGACTCTTCAAAGCCTAACTCCTGTTTTTAAGGTTCAGCTAAGCTGCACAAACATCCAGGCATGCACAGTGAACCACCTGAAAAAATGGTCACTGGTGCTCACAGAAACTGATAAACATCAAGGAAAATAGAAATATTTATAAAATGCATGATGCCAGATATAATTTTTGGTAAGTTATCCATTGGTGAAACAGAAGGTGGATCATCTGATCTGCCTGACAGGCAGCAAGAAATGCCATCTGCACAGCCAGGTTAAAGGGTTAAAGCTGTTTACTTTGTGTATTTCCAAGCACACTCCCTTTAAAGCATCCCACCTTTGCATTTCTGAATACTCACTTACAGAAGCCACACAATAAGGCCTGTTATTCCTGGTTTATTTTCCCCTCTAAATCCTATATTTAAATGATTTTAAATTAATAAAATTATTTTAAATTTTCATAAAATTTAAAATAATATTAAATAATATTAAAATATTTAAATTATTATTTAAATTATTATAAATTTAAATTATTTAAACACATAGTTCTCCAAGGAGCTCAGCTGGGGCTGGAGGAAGTGGAAGGGTGCAGTACCTTCAGCTTTATGATCTCAGGGTTGTACTGCACAGCATCTCCCCACTGCTGCATGAGCTGGGCCGTGGGCAGGTCCTTGTGGGCCAGCGTGGTGATGTCTTCACTCGCCCCTCCACGGACCAGCGCCAGGAAATCCTCCACAAACTGCTTCCTGGCAGTGCTGTCTGCAAAAATGCACCCAGGAAAGCGCCCAGCCCTGCCCACGCTGGTCTTTGTGGGCTGCAGTTACCAGCTGACAGCAAAAACCCCCCCATGCACCACCCATCCCACCCGGAGCACAAAGGAAAAGGCCACAGGTGCTGCTCACCTGCTTTCCTGCTAAGGGTGTCCTGTGTCCCTCCTGCTCCCTTCAGGAATTCCCCACCCTGCACCCTGCATCCCTTCCCGGAACTCAAAATGTCCCTCAGACATTTTTGGAGGTTCCAGGCCCAGGTCAGAAGCATTTGAGACCCTGGCAGGCAGCTGGAAACAGCTGTGATTTTGGATTTGAGCCATGGAATGATTTACCAACCTTGCAGGAAGAACAAGAAGTCACAAAAGATTAAATATTAGAGTAGAAGTAGTTACAAAGTAGAGGGAAGAATTTTTAGTATTGTACTAAGGAAGTTTTAACATCTGTACAGAGGGTTTTTTTGTTTTGTACATAGGGGTCAGAGGTTTTAAGATGGAGGAATGTAGGCCGGTCCTGTTCCTCCTCTTTCTTCTTCCTTGCCTCCATGTTCTTGATGATGTTGGCACTCATGGATTGGTTTAGAATAGAAAAGCACCATTTAATATAGGTAGTAGCTATTGGGGGAAAACTGTAAACATTTAACACATAATGTACCATACAAAAGACAGCAGCAGCCCTGGGCAGGGGAGAGAAGAAGCAGTCGGGAGTCAGAGAGGATGTCAGGGTGTGTGTGTGCCTCTGCCTGAGCTGTGAGCAAACCACAGCAGCCCAAGGAGAAAATCTTTTAGATAACTTGCAATAAACAACCATGAGACCGAACAACAGAGACTGCTGAGCCTTTCTTTGGAAGCTCAGCTTGGAGGAGAGACTTTTCCACCACACAGAGCCCTGAACCAGGCCTGGTTTCTGACACCTTCCCCGTGGTTTGAGGTTTCTTCCACAGCCCGATGCTCCTCACCACCAGGAATATTCCCTGTTTTCCTCCATGTATTTCCATGTGCACCTTCCTCCCGTGCACACCCCCGGAGGCTCCCACAACACCATCACCTCCCTGTTTTCCCCATCAGGATGCAATTACCCTGCTGAGAGGTGATAATTAACACAGAGCTGGCCAGGTGGGTGATGGTTGATCATCTCCTTGGGATGCTGAGCAGATATTTACACTCTACATAGAAAATCTTGGAAAAAACCCTGAGATCTGAGGTATTCCCCCCTCTTAAACCTGGCTGGGATTAGCCAGCAGACTCAAAAGTGGCTGTGAGGGAGTGGGGAAATATTTCAGGTAGGCACGATGACAAAACCTTCCTTTCCCTATGACAAAAAAATGAAATGGCAGAAGTGTTTGGTGCTTACCTCCAATCTCTTTCAAAAGGGCTCTACAGCCAGCTGAATCTACTCCAAGCCCCACAGAGAATTTACCAAAGTTCACATCAACGTTAAAGCCCTTCTGTGCACATTTCTGGACATCGCTCAGAGAAAAACCTTAAATACACAAAAATTGTAAGCTTTTAATACAATTGTTTCATGTTTTATGTACATGTATACAGAAAATGAGAGCTGATAAGTATTTTTGCTTTAGATATGATATGATATCTACAAAACAAGATATGATGAAGAAGAATAATACTGGGGGTTTTTTGATACTTAACAGAACTATATGAAATGAAATCTCTGTTTCTCAGAACTCAGAAGCCAAGTGGAAATGCAAGGTAAATGCTGGAAGAGGAGGATTTTATCACCCACCCAGCTGTACTGGGTTAAGCAGAGCTGCAGTGGGCAGGAAAACAGTGGATGTCTAAGCACAGACTACCCACCACTCTTCCACCTCCCCAGGCTCCAGGTTTTTTAAAAGGAACAGATGAAATATCTTTTCCTCCTTTTACCAGTGCACCTCTCCAATTCTCTGCTGCCAGAAGAGCCTTAAGTGCCACATGGAAATTTAGATTGGCTATCAGGAAATGTTTTTTCACTGAAAGGGTGATCAAGCCCTGGAAGAAGTTCCCCAGGGCAAGGATGGAGTCACCAACCCCAGAGGGACTCATGGGACACGTGGATGTGGCACTTGGGGACATGGTTTAGTGGTGGCCTTGGCAGTGCTGGGTTAAGAGCTGGACTCCCTGAGCTTAGAGAGCTTTTCCAACCTAAAGGATTCCATGGCTCTAAGATGTGGCAGATTAGATTCTGTATGAGAGCAGAGCAAGTACCAACCATGTCACTCAGGGTGGGATACCAGATCTGCAAAAGAAAACTTCAGTTCCAGCACAGACAGTACAAATATAATGAGGGATTTGAAGGGAAAAACCTGAATTCTCAGACTAGACCTATAAAACCCTGCTGAGGACTTACAGCCCAGGTCAGCACTAGTGTGAAAACATTGCTATTGCTGCAGGATCCTGATTTGGGTCAGCAGACACTGAGCATTTTGAAGCAAACAATAATACACTTCAGTTCAAACAAACATGGCTTGTGATGGGCCCGCAGCAACAGCTGAGAAATTGGGGAACTCTGGTAGAATTTGAATACCTGAAATGTGAATCTCAATTCTGTCCCTCCCTCTGACTCCAGAGTAAGGAACTTCCCACACAGCAGAAGAAGAAACAAGCAGAGTATTGCACAAAGCAGAGCCCAGTAAATGCCTCTGTAAACAGACAGCAGAGGCAGTTCCTCACTCCCCTGCCAATGAATAAATAATTGAGGTTGCAGCTATTGATTAATGTCACACTGCTCGCTCTGTCCTACACAACAATCATCATTTCTCACAACAAAGGGAGCCAGAGCCAAAGAGCAGGAGCAGTGTCAGGCACAAGAGTCACCCAGCAAATTATTTACTGTTTCCTACATGCTGGAAAAGCTCTCGAGGCTAAAGGTGTTCCACAACTGCCATTTGAAAGGCAGTGGAAAAAGAACTTGGGTGAAGGTTTTCAAAGCTAACAGAAGTGTTAAGATCCACGATTCTCATTCATCTCAACATCATGTCAGCCTCTAAAACGTGTTGTCTAAAACGTTTGCCACAGGGCCTTTCTTTGTGAACTAAATCCAGCCCACGATGCTGAGCATGCTTTGAAAACCTCTTTATTCACTGCCAGCCTCAACTCCCACATTTCCTGCAGGATTTCTCTGGGATGCTGTTGACTCTCATCTCCCTCTCAGACCTGAGCCACCCCTGTGTGCCCGCACAGAGGTTTTCCCACCCAAAATCTGGCCCCAAAGCTCCTTCCCCACCATCGGAGGCACGTACCCGCCTTGCGGAGCTCCTCGCTGTTCATGACCAAAGTGTATTCATAGATGCCTCCCACGGTGGCCTCCTTGATGAAGTGTGTCCCAAAATCCCTGAAGAGCTCCCGGTACTCCCCGTAGCTGTAATCCGCGGGGAGCTGCCGGAGCCGCCGCAGGAATTCGTGATGCAGCATCAGGTCCCGGGGCTTCAGCTTGTAAACACCAACAGCCAGCTCAGCACGGGCGTGGATGAACTTGCTGGACTGCAGGAAAGGCAGCAGAGCCCAGGAGGAGTGAGGGATGTCATTCTCATGACAAAGGGAATTTGTTATTTGCAGTTAAACCATCAGCGCTGGTCGGGATTTGTTCATTTCACCGTTTCCAACTTATCACTGGAAATCTTCTATTTTTCATTTCTTAAAAAAAAAAAAAATCTCCTGTTTTTTGCAAAAGTAAAATTTGTAGTAATAACAGTTCCTGAGAGTCAGGCCATGACTGGGAGACAGCAAAAGGCAGGGTCCAGGTTCTGATGTGGCACATCCAGAATGCAAGGGCACCTCAGCATCCTGCAGGACTGCTTTACCCCTAACAAAACTTCATCTCTCAAAAAACTCCCTCCTGAAAAGTTCTGACATCTGAAATCATGATTTGTACAGGAATCATGATTCTCTGGCTGAGCCATATTCATATTTCACAGACTTTGCCCTTATCAAAATGGAAAGGAAAGAAGAAAACACAAACACTCTCTCACACATACACACACATATTTATATGACTCTGGGTACATATGTATGTAGATATGAATCTTTTTCTCTCCCCTTTCTGGCATAAAAGTCTGGAACAGAAAATGTCTTCCGTTATGTTCAAAGGATTTATTGTTCAGTTGTCTGGGCCAGCAGGACAAGCACATCAGGGAGGGATCAGTATAGAGCACTGCAGCTTAAAAAATAAAATCAGGACTTAATATTTGTTTTATTTATGGATATCTGTTGCAAATGCTTCTCATCAGCCTCTGATCTTGTTGTGAGAAATTCCCCTTTGCAGGAAGCAAATGCAAGGAATACTTTGCCATTCCTGAGTACATTTTATACTGAAAGGAGACATAGATTGGTGATAGTATTGCACCACTGATATGAACTACCCTTGTTTATGGCAACAGCAGATGAAAAAAGAGTAAACAAATGTTGGCAGTCATAGCAGTTACAGATTCAAGTTGAACAGGTTTTTCAGTTTCAATTTTTCACTACAAGCACTCAAAGGTGGATGTCCAGCAGGGCAGTGGACAGACCACGCTGAGAATCAGAGAATATCCACAGCTGGAAGGGACCCTCAAGCATCACTGAGTCCTCTCAACAACCTGTGGCTGATTTCAAAGGCCAAGCAGCCCAGATCCCGGCTGAGAGCCGAATGGAAAAGCCCCTGGATGCTGCAAACACAAAGGAAAGCATCGTGGGGGTAGTCAAGACTTGAACAAATGGCAGAATCCACTTGGGGAAAGGATTTGGTTTATCCCAGTCCTGGCTGCTGACCTAAGGAGGAGCCTCAAACCAACACACACACACTCTTACAGGGAGCATGTTAGCAGGGAATTAAGTGGAGCAGTGCTTACACTTGAAGAAAATCTTTTCATCCTCTGCATGAACTTCTTGAACCTCATGTCATTTGAATTGTAACCAAGTTCAAACACTTTTGGTATTTTTATACCGACGCTGAAGCTTGTCTGCGAAGCTTTTGCCTTCAGGACACTGCTTTCATAATTTGAGTAGGAGTCGTATTCAGTCATTGTAAATTCATATTTGCCTTTGGTCTAAACAGAAAGGAAAAACAACACGTCTCATTTCCTGCACAGTGATTGTACACCTGAAGCGTGGGGAAGGAATGCAGACACAAATATACTTGTGAATTAATGCTTGCACTTTGAAGATGAAAAGCCTTGTATAATTGCAAAGCACTATTATTATTAACACAGGTACTTCAAGAATACTTGATTTACAGCAGCAGGAAAGCTCCTATCTCCTCCATACTGCAAGGTCCTCAGGCTTTCACTTAATATGTCAATCTTATGCAAAGAAGGTGAAATCTTAAACACAGGCATCAATTAAAGTATAAATTCTAAAAAGAAAAGGTTTCCTAGTGGGCAGCACTCAAAAACATCATGATAACAGAAGCACTAAGTTCAAGTATATGATATTTGAAATCCAGTTTTGATGCGTGACAGGGACAAGTTTTCACACAAAGCATGTGGTGTGTACAACATCGTGGAGTGCATGGGGTATGAGTATGTTCTAAACAGGGTAAAAATCAGCCTGATCCCATTGGGTGTCAAGAACTTTGTGATTTTTTTTTACCAAATGATCCAGCAATGAAGCTTTGGGCACTAAATCCATTGGAAGAAGTGTGTGTAGGTTTATTTGCAGGCACATCTGGCACGCACCTCTGGTGTGTAGCTTTCCACGTTGTAGGGCTTCCTGAACCTCGTGTCTGTGATGTAATGGGGAGAACACCCCCCAGCGTAGTACCTGTGATCAAGGACCAGCCCCTCCAAGCTGTTTGTGAAGATATTCAACCTGCAGGCGAAGGAGAACAGCAATATTTTATGGTACCATCAATTCAGAGCTAAACACTGAATGTCTTGGCTGAGAAAAGCAAAAGATTGTTCTATTTGGCCACAGGCTCTTTGTTTCACCCTTCTTTATTTTGAAACCCCAAAAGAAATCTTGGCCTCTTTCACTTTCCAACCAACCCAGGTGCTGCAGAAGGACTTTAATGAGAAAGCAAAATACAAAGTTGAATTTTGACACTTGATGAATGGAAATGGCAATTTTCATCCCCCAGCTGTGAATGACACCAGTGTTACTGCCACCAGCACTGGCAGCTTTGTGGCCTTTACTGGAAATCTCCAGGAAAAGCAGAACAAACTGGATCAGCCAAATCCCCACCCCACCAGGCTGCTCACCCTGAGCGCCCCCAAATATCCACAGCATCCATCAGAACCTGCAAAGACAGGTTTACCAATCCATGCCATCCATCCAGACAGATTTTTAATTCCCACTTCTTCATTCTGGTTTATCAGCCAAAATCTTTGCCAGGTTGGCCAAGGGTGAACCAGGGGCAGTAGATAACAGTAAAAATTGTTGGGGAACAAGAAAAGAGGTACTCAAGCAAGAGCTCAACTGATCCTTGAAAGCACAGGGAGTTTTCCTTTGATTTCAGTGGAGGATGGACAGAAACCTTAACCTGTCTGCTCTAAGAAAGGATGCAGCACTGCAGTTTGTGGAGATGAGGAGATTAAACCCCATCACTTGCTTTTCCCCTTGCTGCTGGTGGGGTGAAACTTCATCCAAAAAACCCCACAAAAAACTATCAGCGCTCCAGGACTCTGTTGGATCTGCCTCTCCTGATATTGGGGAGGGAGGCTTGCATGATAATGACACTGAAGCTGTAAAAAAATTAACTCTAATTTTAGAACAATCTGGAAAAAAAGGAAAGTCCACTAAAAGCAAATTACTGAGCAATTGTGGCTTCAAAGAGATGAGAAGCATGTTCCTATAATTGTCCAACATTATTTTTAATTTTGATTAAACTCAGAAGTACAAAGCAATAGCAATGACATGTGCAGAAGCCATATCTCCAGAGAATAATGAGAAAATTATTTTTTTCCTTGCAATATGATTTTCCTTTTTTTTTAATGTAAAAAGCAATTTTTTCCCTGCAGAGTAAGAAAAAAAAAAATGTCTTTTCACACAGTCTGATCTTATAGAATGCTGTCACAATCTTAGTCTGCAAAAGCTGAATCAATTCAGACTTAGATTTTAATCCCCACAGAGCTGCTAATATGCAGGTTTACCCTACCCCTCTCACACAAAGCATAAAAATTCCACCACTTCTCAATGTCATGGAAGAAATCAAAATAATTTGAACACATTTTCCCCCTCCCCACCAAACCAATACAGGCTGTAAGAAAACAAAGCCAAGGATTAATGATTTGGGTTAGGAGGGATCTTTAAAGATCATTTAATCCCCCCCCCTTTACACCATCCCGGGTTGCTCCAAGCCCAACATTCCTTGAGCAATTCCAGGGATCCAGGGGCAGCCACAGCTTCTCTGGGCAACCTGTCCAGGGCCTGCCCACCCTCACAGGACTGAATTCATTCCCAATACCCCATCTAACCCTGTCCTCTGGCAATGGGAAGCCAGCCCCCCTTGTCCTGTCCCTCCAGGCCCTTGTAAATCCCTCTCTCCATCTTTTCTTGTTCACTCCTTCAGGTGAAAGGCTGCAATGAGGAAACCCCAGAGCCTTCTCTTCTCCAGGCTGAACACGCCCAATTCTCTCAGCCTTTCCTCTCAGCAGAGCTGCTCCATCCCTCTGACCGACTTGGTGATCTTCTCTGGACTTGCTCCAGCAGGTCCATGTCCCCCAGGCTCGGGATCAGGTTCCTGGATCCCAGCTCACTCCTGGATACAGCAACTGCTCCAGCTTTCCTCTGCTCAGTGTTTGCCTGGAGTCCCATCAGATCATTCCCAGCCTTAAGTACAGCAGCATCTCACCAAAGTCACAGCCTTACCCTTTTGCCAGGTTCTCTACTCCCCAATACTCTTCCATCTTCTGGTCACATTTCCTGAACACTTTTTTGCAGTTTTTCTCATCTGACTGGTCCCCACAGTCATCATCCCCATTGCAGAGCAGCCTCCGTGCAATGCATCTCCCTAGGAAGGAAGGGGACAATCACCCATAAAACAATCTGTGATCACATTCCCTGACTTGGAGTCTAGGAGCAAAACAGAAAATTTCTGGAATGAATGGTTCAAATCTAGCTGGGGAAAAAAAAAAAAAAAATCTTCTCTATCTGCATGGATTCCCAAAGTTCATCTGCTCAGTTTCACTCAAAAGTGTCATAGCCTTAAAATTCCACACTCATCTTAGGAAAAAACACACAATAATTAAAAGTATAAAAAGCATGAATGTTTTCACTAATTTTTTTTTTCATTTTGAGAGAACAAACATGCTGTTGATACTAAAAGGGTTTAAAATCATGGGGATTTAGGGTTAAAAGGAAAATTAAACTTAGTAGGCCCCTGAAAAGAAAATAAATACCCTGAGTACATGAAGACTTTATACCTTGCTAGAACTGCACCTGTGTAGCTAGTACATGATAAATGATATAATTGTTAGATGTGATGATTGTTTAGCAATTAAATATAATTACTGTTTAATCGTAAGAATAATCATGAGAAACTGTGGTCAGGGACCTAAGGAAGATCACGAGAAACTCATGTCAATGTATCCAATAGAACAATATAAGTTTAATAATTAATATGTAAGTTATATAATGATAGAATATAAAATACGTTCAGCTCGAAAGCCGTGTCAGAGTCAGATTTTGGTCTGCACCCTTGATTCCCAGAGCTCTCAATAAAAGCCCCTGCAGATAATCCCATGATTATGTGTGTTCCTGAACGCTAACACTGTTTCAGCTGGCCTTGTATATGGTATTATTTTCTTTCTCTCTTCCCATGTCCACAATTCCTGAGTGTTTTCAGTCACACCAAAACACTGGAAAATGGAGAGCAGAGGCTTTTCCTTTGCCCCATCTCAGGAGCTGAGCTTGTGCTACAGATTTTGCTGATATAACCAGGCAAAAATTTCCTATTTGGAGATTATAGACTCACTGACACAAACACAATCACGGACGGAGCCAGGTCAATTCCTGGCATCCCTCTGTGTCAGGATCTGAGGTATTGATGATTCTGAGATTGTAGAAAGTCTCTGTCTTTCTGCCCCATTGCCAAAGCAGAAGCCATAATTCGTCTGTGCTGGTTTCAAGGTTGTTTATTCTGTTTATCTCTAACATGTTCTGCTGCCCTGCCGCAGCTCTGTCCTGCAGGGCAGCGTGTGGGGCTCTGCCCTCAGTGGGATGTTACAAACATTAAATACCAGAAACTACCTGTGCTGGATTTACAATAATGTGCCAATATCTGTCACCTACGTTGAACAGTGTGTCCCCAGCCTAAACCAACAGAAAAATGCCAACACCACAGTGAAACATGGAGGGCATGAAGAAGGAGAAAAGGATAAGACACACCCAATTTCCTCTGTCTTGTCCCCTTTGAACCCCTAATCTGGAATCCTAAAATTTTACTTTTGCACCTGTGCCACACTTAATTATTACTCATATCAAACACTGAGAGCTTGTAATTCATCCTGTAAGATTGAAAACTCTTTTCTATGGACAGAGATCACAGCCAGTGTCTCTGGGGGCTCTGTCCAGGGGAGTTCCTGACCCCTCCCAGACCTTCCAGGGCAGCCAGAGGGAAGCCCTGGATTCCCACACCTCTGGCCCAGCAAACTCCTGAGCAGCAAATCCCAAAAATCCTTACCTGTGACTGCACACACAAAGCCATCACAGCGAGCTCTGCTCCTGCAAGGAGTGTTGGTGACACACTGCTCAGCCTCCCTGTCAGAGCCATCGCAGGGCTCTCCGCTGAACTGAGAGGGCTGTTCCAGGCGGGCAAACCTGTACTGTGATGAAGTAAAAAATATTGACTCGAGTGCACAGAAATGGTGAATTTTACGCTTCTCTGGTTGAAAAACAAACTTTGCGTCGCCGGGATCTGATCTAAGAGCGCTCTGTCATATTAAAAGAGAAGAGTGTCAGCACAGAAGTGTGAAGCTGGTAATTTGCCTCGTTTCAAAGGTTTCTGATCTGCGACAGTTTTAATTGTACTGAGGAAGGGCTGAGGACTGGGAGGGATGAAGGAAAGTTTGCTTCTCTTTGACAGTTTGTTTAAATGAGCCTGACAGTGCAGTGCGGGACTTTGCAGGAGCGAGGAAGGATCCAGTTCCATCTCCTCTCTTTCAATTAGTGCTGGTAACGACATCCCTTGTTATTTTCTGTCAGTTTATTTACTTGCCCCTCTGTATCATTAGGGATTTTTTTTCCGCCCACAACACTGCTGTGAAGCAGTCAATTACTCCATCCAATATGTTAGCCCTCCTTTTTTCCCCAGCTTCTGAGATTAACTCTTTGATACGAAGCTTCACTCTCCCCCCAACTCCCATCATTGCTTATTTCTGCTTAAGCCTGGGAACAGCTTCTCCAACTTGTTAGCAGAGGTCTCTCCAGCAACAGGGGATTTTGCTCTTCATGCTGTTGGGATCATTACTTTCATTTGATGGGGTTTTTCAGGTGGAAAATGCTGGCTGGCAGACAAGAAAATCATCTTAATCCTGAGAGGCACTGAGTGTCTCCAGGTCCCACAGGGGACCATTAGTGGGGAAGGTGCCTCGCACTGATGCTGGAAGGACAGGACTGTGTTGGAAAGTCCCTGCAAAGCCTGGCCTTGCACCTTCTCAGGACAGTGAGGCACCCTGGAAAGCACTGGAATTACTGGGGGTGGTGAGCTGAAGAGCTAAAATCCACCTGAAAGCAAACCCCATGGTCTCACCTGTACAGGGCTTTCCTCAGCAGCCCCCTCGGCTTGCCCAACCCCATGGACAAAAGGGACACGGCTCGAAGGAGTCCCACCTCCTGGTTTCTCAGAGGTGCCCAGCACAGGCACTCACCCTTTTCTTCTGGCAGGGGTCACACTTGCTCCAGGAGGACCAGGAGGAGAGGATGCAGTCACGGGGCTGTGGTGGGACACTCACGGAGCGGGCGTGCCTGCCCCTGGCCACGCTGTCACTGGGGCTCAGGGACTCCTGGCCACTGTGAACAACACCACAAGAGCTTCAGGCTGTGAAACTGTGAGCTCTGAGGACCTGGCCCCTCAGCCTACACCTGTGTGAAACCTCACACCAAGGAGAACCGACACTCACCACGCTTTGTATGCAACCTCTGGATTTCGGTCCTCATCCTGATGGCACTGATTCCACTGGCACTGATTCTGCAAAAACCTGATCTGCTCTCCAGTGCCAACAAGGGAAACTAAACCCACAGCCCACCAATCTGGGCTTCACCTCAAGCTGTGCAAGCAGTAAAACCTTCACCATCAGTTGCTGCCCTTGCTCCGTGGCTCCAAGGTCAGATACCTCCACGATGAACATCCGTCCCAAGGAAAGGCCTGGCATGCACTCAGCATTTCTCAAAACCAGAATAAGTGTCTCTCTTTGCCCAGCAGCACATTTTCCCCCAGGCTGGCCAAAGGCACTGGTCTTACATTCTACTCTCAGTTCACGAGTCATTAACCCATTAATCCCTTTCAACCTAGTAACGAAGCTGAACCCCAAGTGTGAGCCTTTACTCCTCACCCCAGCCACTCTCACTCCCTCACGTGGCAGCTGTCTCCAAGGTTTCCACAATGCCACAGTAAAAATGCTGCCTCCTCTTTTGGTGGATTCAGGATTTCTGATTAAATCCTTGTCCCAGACAAATGCTCCCTTGTTGCACCTCCTTCAAGTGGGGAGCTTTAGTAAAATGTTGACAATTAGTTTCTTTTCATACCCAGTTTGACAAGGAAACTACCACAGGGACATTCCCAGTTTTTCCACCCTGACAAGGAACAGCATCAGCTGAAGCTTTAAGTATGATTTAGTGCCTGGCATGGGGTTCCCATTATAGCATATTAAAAATCACATGGAATAAAGGAATTACAAAACCTCATCAGCTTGCTGAGGCATGAAATCAAAGCTCAAAGTTCAGAGAACGGTGCAAAAATATAGTTAGACTGGAAAGATTACAAGATGCAGTTCTCTGAAACAGCAAAATCCATTCCACCAGCACAGAAAGGAATGGCTCCCAGCCACAATCTCACCATTTCTGCACTGGGAGGAAACAACCCCCCGTGTGCCTAGCACTCTGTGGGGCAGCCAGCACGGAAGGAGGCTGCATGTTCAAACAATCCCACATTACAACAGAGCGTGGCCATGTGTCAGCTCCAATTCATCACCAGGATTGCTCAGAAACGCTGCCCTACGCCGACTTCCACACGACGGCTTTGCCATCCATTAGAGACGGCAGAAATCGCCCACGACAGCAATTCCAGCCCGTGCCACACCAAAGCCTGGGCTGATCCTGATGGTTTCTCCTGTCATCCCCTGCATGTGGCTCCAGAAACTCTCACTCACCCAACGCCACGAGCGGTCTGGGCGCCCAGCACGGCACAGAGCAGCAGAAGTTGGATGCTCATCGCTCCGAGGTTCCGCCGGTGGTCCCACACCGCCAACATCCCCAGCCAGTCTGCTGTGGGGGTTGGAACAAGGCTCAAGCACGAAAAGAGGAGCTGCAGAGTGGCTCTGCCACCCTGTAAACAGCAGATGACCAGCACCTGGCAGGCTGACAAGGTAAACGCTGCAGTGGCTAGCACACGGCTCTCCCGAGGCCAGCAAAGCTGTGCCGAGCAGCAATCTGCACCTGCATTTGTAATGCTCCTTTCAAGGGACACGGAAAATGAATATTTCAACAAACAAAACATATTTGAGTCTTGGCAAGAAGGAAGTGATAAGTAAACTCAAGTCGGCTTTCTAGGAAGAGAGTGCAGAATCATTTATTTATTGCTGTTTTCATGCCTGTCTTCCAGAGGAAGGTCAGGCACCAGGCATAAGCACTTATTCTCACGCCTCAAGGCAAATCCTACCCCTCCCTGAGAGTAATTCCCTGTCCCTCCTGCTGCTGGGGAGGACAAGAGCCTCAGCCCTGGCTGGGCCATGCCACAGAGATTCTCTGCTCCACACCCCCAATGTCTTGAGCTCACAAAAGCAGGACATGTCAGGGTATCAAATGTAATGTCTTGGTGTTTTCTCGCTGCTGCACTGAGTCATTCTCTCTCTTAAATGGTCCTGACTGGGCTGAGAACTTACCATGGGCTGGTGGCCATCAGTTCAGCTGGGCTTTCAAAGGCAGAGCAGACAGAACCTGGAGGAGTTGTTCTTTGGTTGCCTGTTGAGCCTTCACATCCTGCTGCTTCTCCCTCCAGGCACAGATTTTTGATTTCTGAGACACAAGAGTCTTTCCTGTCATCTTCCTATCAGGCTTAGCCTACAGCAAGCATCTTAGAGAGAGCAAAGTTCTCCAAATCTGTGTTTTCCTGCACAAAATGAGGAATGCCATCGTGTTTTCCCATGCTTCCCCTTGCTGGACAATAAGACAGCCTGACTTGTGCAGCTCTGCCTTTCAGCAGCACAGTTCCTCACCTTGGGACACATCTCTGACTGCTTTGGTGATACAAAGAGTAAATTCATTTTAATTTGCTCATTATGGCACTGATGGGTGCTACACATAAAATTATTCATATTCACTAATAACAAACAAACCCAACAACCTTAGTGCCATTACCTGGCCAAGTGCTACACCTTAATGTGTCACAGTTACCTTACAAATGACATTATTCTGCCTGTGGAGCCACATCCCTGCAAAATCAGCACTGGCTGAGACATCTTTCTGGCCTGGCAGCCTGATAACAATTTAACACAGAGAGACACACAACTGAACCCTTGTAGGAATCTGCTCCAAATAAAAGTTCTTATTTCAGATAGCCCCTTTTTAACCCAGAGCTACTGAGCACAGTGATAAACTGCCCTCTTGACATTGAGGACAAACTGTTAGGGGAAGTGATTCAGGCTGTGCAAAGCTTTCTGTTTGCCTTTTCTGCCTGGTTTCTTTTTTTTCTTCCAAATGGCTTTGCCCCAGCCTGAACCCAAGATGTGCCTGTGTGATACAGCTTGCTCAACCTCTGGCACAATTGATTCAGTTGTTAATCATTTGTCCACGATGAAAAAGAAAACAACAACAAAAAAATAACCCACTTACAGAAAGACCTCTCCATCCACGGGACCTTTGCTGGCTGGGAAATACATCCAATATTTCAACAGCAGTAAAAGATAAACCAAGGTTAGACACACAGAGCACCCTCTAGATATAACTTCAAACCGTGACAGGGATCCCAGCACGTGGAATTTTCAAGCTTCTCTCTGCTGCTTGTATTTGTTTTGCTGCCTCTCACCACATCTCAGTGGTGAATGAACAAGCAGGAGAGGTGAATTACCAGAAGTGAGGCTAAAACAGGAGCAGGGACCCAAGAGACAGAATTTCCTACCGCTCAACACATTTGTCAGAGAGAACTAAAAAGTACCATCAGGTTTTACACATAATTTACAACCTGATTTAATTAGAGGTAGGTCTAACACATGAAATTTATGACAGCAAGCACAGGTAATTTTCTGCTTCCTCGGGTCCACGGATCAAGGGGAATGTTGCCTCTTTTCCATTGCTGCTCCTTCTCCACTGGTGACTGTGGCTTTCTGATGAGCTGAAGTTCCATAACAACTCTCTATGCTGCTGAATTAGCATTTATCACACTTGAAAATCAAATGCCCACCATGAAAATGGAGCCTGCAAGTGCAACACAGAATTTATATCCCAAGTTTGGGAGCCTTTGCTCTTCCTAAATAATTCCTCTACTGTTGCACCAACCATGATGGTTCTTTAAATGGCAGTTTCGTGTTAAAAGAAAAACTGACTGTTTACAGAATTATCAGTGCATTCTTCAAAAAGTTGCTTTTTCTCCTCTGAGAAAACTGTTTTATTCCCTGCTTCAGAACTCAGAATGCATTTCCTTCTGTGGAAAAACTCAATGGTAAAAGGAAGCTTCCCACCAATTTTAATTGTGAAGAGCATAAGGTGGCAAATACATGGTAAAATTTACAACCAAAGGCTACTTCCAGATTTTTACAACAAACCCCAGTGTGTCACCATTTTTGTTACTAACATTGTTATTATCTGGAGTGAGGCTGTTCTCTGGAAGGTCCTGGGCACAAAAAACTCACCTTGCTAAGCTTGCTTCTCCTCTTCTGGCTTTTGCTCCACTAAAAATAATGTCTCGTTGTGACTGAGGCCAAATCTGGCACAGGTTCACCTGCTCCAAAAGCTCTAAAGTCCTGTGAAAAGGGTAAGACAAAGAAAACTCCTCCATGTCCCACCCCTTGTCTCCATCTCCTCTCCATCAGGCCTCAAGACAGCACACAGCCCAACTTGTTTTCAAACTAGAAACAGCATTTTTTTTAAGGAAAAAAAAAAGATATACTCGTCATCTTTGTGTCAAATAAACAAAATTTACAAACAATGCAACATCTCACAGCATTGTGACTTCTGCTCACTTCAAATACAGCTCACTCCTGACACTGAGAGCTGTTCTCTAATAACTGTTAGAGAACACAAAGATGCCACAAAAGGTTGATTTTTTTTTTTTTTCAGCTAGTACCTGGCAGTAATTCTTCCTAATCCTTTATTTTCACAAATGTCTGAGGCTGAATGGGCAGAGATTGCTGCCTGTTAACCTGATTTTCCTTTAATCTATTGTGATTTCCTTTCTTTGCTGGTGAGGAGTATTTATAGAAGTGGTGCTACAGGAGCTATGAAACAAGGTTGAAAAGCCAGCAAATAATACCAGATCTTAAAAGACCTTTTTTTAAAAAAAAAATTATCTAAAAGCCCCTTGAATGGGCAACATCTGAGGCTATTCTTCTCACTGAGATTTTTTCAGGTGCTGATAAAACATTTTAGGGTGATAGATGAGCCACAGGGCAAACACATCCATTGAGATAAGACTATTTAAAGCTTTAAAAACTAATAGCTGGAGAGCTGTTTCACTAATAGACCTGATATTTCCTGCCTCCAGTAGGATAATTTCAGAAAGAGACAGGCCATGTTACAGGTACTGAGGAAATCCTATCAGGATATCTCTCCATATTCCTCACTGTCATGAGCTGAAATGTGCAATTCAGTTTCATACAGCAAGTAAAACCAGAAAAAACCCACCAAACCCACACCTTTATTCTTCCCCATGCCAGTCCTACCCAGGGTATTTAAAAACAACATAATACAGGTTTTTAGTGGGGCTGATCCTAAAAAACAAAATGAGGGAACTCAAAATGTCCCTCAGACATTTTTAGAGGTTCCAAGTCCAGGTCAGAAGCATTTGAGACCCTGACAGGCAGCTGGAAACAGCTGTGATTTTGAGTTTGAACCATGGAATGATTTACCAACCTTACAAGAAAAACAAAAAGTCACAAAAGTTTAAATATTATAGTAAAAATAATCACAAAGTAGAGGGAAAAAATTTAAGTACTGTACAGGGGGGTTTTAAATCCTATACAGGAGGGTTTTAGTTTTATACATAAAAGTCAAAAGTTTTAAAATACCAAGATTTTAGGCCTGTTCTACCCTCCCTCTTTCTTCTTCCTTACCTCCACACTCTTAATATTGGCACCCACAAATTAGTTTAAAGTAAAAAAGTACCATTTAATGTAAATAATAAGCATTTTAAAAAACCCTATAAAAAACAAAACCAAAAAAAAAGCTAAAAGTATATATACCTTTACCTAAGCTGCTGAGCAAACCGCAGCAGCTCAAGAAAAAAAAAAAATCTTTTAAATAACTTACAATAAACAACCTTAAAACCAAACAACAAAGACTACTAAACCCTTTTTTAAAAACATAAATAATAATAAAAAAAAATTTCCACCACCCACAACCTAAAACAAGCTCCAGCAGCAAACCAGTGTAGGAATTCATGGAAGAGCTCAGCACAAGAGAGAAATACTCTGTACAAATCATGGCTTTTGCAGCAGTAACATCCACCCAGAGGCAGGAGCAGGAGGTTGAGTCCCAGGATGGCACAAAGAGGAGCAGAAGGAGAAGCCAGGAGCTCTGCCTGCATTTCCTGCAGCTTTCACTGTGTTCCTTCAGCACTCTGTGCATCCCACGCTGGCTCAGGGCAGGGAACTGCAGAGAACAGATTCAAACCTCTGTGGAAAAGTGCCACCAGATATCCCCTCTCATCCCTCTGACATGATATTCTTCTGACTGAGAACAGCATTTGCCAGGAAAGCAATAAATATGAACCTGACAGGACAAGGAGCTCTTCAGAAAGCAAAGAAAATATATTTCACAACCTAAAAATCAGCCAGAAAGAGGTTACCTTCCCTGTTGCAGCAACTGTCACTGAGTAGAGATTAAAGCACAGAAAACACTGCCTTTAATCCAGTGTGAGGGAGTGAAAATTGCATATTCCCAGTCTGTACAAGCAAAGAAGCCACTGACATGGAAAGGAGAGATCTGGCAGTGTTCTCACTGCTGTAAAACCACGGTTTGCTAATGAAATTCTCATTACTGCATGAGATCATGGCCTGAATCAGCACTGGTTAAATTGGGAACGTTTCTTGGACTGGGCATGGGCACTCTCATATACAATACAGGGCTCTGAGTTACAGCAGTATTAATGTGATTTAGCACATAAACACAGCACAGTAAAAACGCATCCTTATCCCTCCTGAGCACACAGAACAGGTCCTTCCCTCCCTCCTGGGGATTCCTCTTCCTCACCATTGCCAAATTACACCTCAAACCTGCTCATTCTGAATTTTCACACTGAGTTTAACAACAGCTGTACAACATGAGCCAATTTTTCTGATTTTGCACCCAACTTCACCGTGAGGGTACCAGAAGAGGATCAACAAGACCAGATTTAGCCTTCATTGTAAAAATGCATTTTAATTTAAATCCACGTTTAGCTGTGGCTTATTAAAGTTGATGTTTTGTGGCTGGTTGAAAACCAGAGATGACATTCTTCCTTCCAAGGACAGCTGGGTACAGTTACCTACACACAAATCAAAATGCCATTAACACTGGAGTGCTCTCACCACAGCAGAATAACCTTTATTCTCAGGTGGGATCCAAGTATTTAAACAATGTTCACTGACAAAGGCAAGGGATGTTTCACCATGACCTACTGGGCATTTTGAGGCAGGCATGAGACATCAAAAAGTAGAAATACAATAAAATATATGTGCACAACTCCACACCTCTCTCTTTCTCTGTACATAAAACATGTATTTGTTACTCTTAAATTTTACTGTATTACTCTCTTGGCAGAGTATGGGAAAATTCCGTCTCAGCTGAGCTTTATTATCAGTTCTGTGCACATTACTGGAATTTTTTTTTTTTGGGGGGGGGGGGGATCTGCTTTCAAAACTGTCATGTTTAAATGCACATCTTTAATTTCAAATCCCACTTAAATGAAAAAAGTGAGCAAAATTGATTTCAGTTTTTCATGCCATAAAAGATAAACGAGCTTTGGGAGCATCACACACCATGGGGTGTCCCAGGAATGTGGGATTTTGCAGGAGGTGATATAAATACCCGCTGGTTTGGGATGCTCATCCTAAAACACCCAAAAAGAGGCCAAAAAAGTGGAGGCAGCAATTAAAATCAGCAAGTTATACATTTGCAAGATAAGCAACACTTGGTGTTAAAGATTAGTTATTCCCCAAACTGAGGAATTTCTCCTTTCCCAGGTATTTCCACTGTCAAAAATAAAGGCCATACCAGACACAAACATTGTATTTAAAGTCTGGCAGAATTATCCCAGAGGAGCTATGAAACAAACTTACTGAAATGACACCTTTTTTTTAATGTTTTTATTCATAACAGTATTACATGGTGTGTTACAGAAATTAATGGAAAATCTCTAAAAATTTGTTGGTTTCTGTTGTTGTTGCTGAATGCATTACACATAAAGTTAAAAATAATGTGTCCGTATGTGTTAACAAATGGTTGTTATCTGAGGTAAAGTTAAAGTAGGTTTAGAAATGTACTGCAACAGTCATTTTATCTTTCTCATCTTTATTAAAAAAATAAGTGTCAGAATGCAGAAATAAAAATGAATGAAAACCACGGAGTAAACATTTTTTTTGCAAAGAAGGTGCCCAGTACGTTATTGAGATGAAAGGTTTCATCAGACACTTGGATGACTACGATCTATCAAAATATCTTTTCATGACAGGTAAAGATCAAGAACCTACGTGGGGGATGGGAACAGGATGGCTGGTGGGGTTCCCTGGTTTGTAAATTTAAAGTGACGAATTTAGTGCTAGTGAAGGATGAGGGATTAAACAATTGCACAAGCTGGATATTTGAGTTATCTACAATACTGGTACAGTGCAGAGGCCCTGCAGCCCTCTCAGCTCAGCATCCCAGCCACGACAAGGACGATCACAGGACGAGACAATCCAGAATCTGCTTTTATTCATGAGCAAAAGTAAGACAAAGGTCCGTGGTGATGGCCCAGAGACACCAGAATTCCAGCCTCATTCCCTCGGCACCTATTCGTGAGTGATCTGCTTCCTACAAATGTGATCCTCTGAGACATCAATCTCTTCTTTCCTCTGTGTTTCACCCCAGACCTGGAAATGCACTGATGACACTTAACCTCCCATGTCTGTGATGAACCAAAACTGGGTTTGTGGTTCCATGTGCAGGACAAAACCCAAAAAAAAAAGCAGCTGAGGAAGAAAGTAGCACCACTGTGCAAATCAGGAAAATATTCTGACAGAAGTGTCCCCC